ATCAGGACATGAGCTTATGAGTTGTTTTGGGCCAAGTATAATTGTTTTTGTAATGAAGTGACTTGTTCTTTCAATTGATCTCTTTCTTGTTTTAAGATAAATAAGTCTGCTTCCAAGTCTTTTATCTTCATATTGAAGTGAGCACTAGTTATACCATCAACTTCGTCATCATCCTCTTCACTTTTATTATACTCAGGAACTGCTTCAGGAATTGGAGATGATGATTTGGAAAATTTCTCTTCACTAATAGAGGGAGGTGTAGCTCTGGAACTTATTCTTCTTGAAGCTTTCTTGAATAATTTCAATTCATTATTTTCTTTAATCAATTTTTCAATCATATTTCTTTGACTATTCAATTCATCTTGAGTTAAATTAAGAGCTTTACTAGTATTATTAACTGATTGCAAAGCATCACGATAATTAATTTCAAAAGTTTTCAAAGCTTGTAATTTTTGAGATAATTCATCTTGTAAAAGTTTAACTTCGGATTGAGAACCTTCTTGTTGCTCTTTTGAGATTCTTAAAATTTCATTAACTTGTTGTTGTAATTTAAGAACCACTGGATTATCATTTGGATTTTCAAGATTCCTTGCTTCAGCTTCAGTAGGTTGAGTATAGTTAGCAGGATTAGAAGACCATAACCCAACCAAATTTTCCAAATGAGAAGAAATATCCTTCTTAGATTTCTTACCGGTAGTAGTACCAGTGGCACCACTAGTAATAGATCTATTACCTGATTCATCAATAATTTGTTCATCATCAGAAAATTCCTCATCATTATGAATAGATTTATAATTTTCAAATTCTAAATTTAAATTTTCAAATTTATATTTCCAATCATTAATTTCTTTTCTTAAAATTTGTTCATCTTTAACTTGTTGAGATAAATTGTGGATTTTTTCCTCTTGAACTTTAATGATTTTTTGAAAGTTAGATAAATCACCAATTTGATTATTCATGAAAGGTTCAAATTTATTAAATTTATCAGATAAACGAAGATTTTCTTGTTCCAAGTAAATTAATTTATTATTGAGTTCCATTCTATCCAACTTATATTTTGTTAATTCAGTTATACCTTTTGTATCTGAAGAAGGTAAACTTTCGGACTCATTATCAACAGAAAGTGCTGAAGGATCAATTGAATTTTTCAATTCTTGTAAGATAGTTTCCTTTTCATTGAGAGAATTTTGTAAATCTCTAATTTGAGTAGATTGATCGTTTTGTTTGTAAGCGTTATTTTCAATTTCCAAGCTATTGATTTTTTCAGTTGCATTTTGCATTTGAATCTTAGTGGAAGATTTCAATTCATTTAATTCATTAGTTAATTCGCTAATGATTTTTTTAACTTTAGCATCTTCAGCAGAACGATCTCTTTGAGCACCGTTTAAAGCACCCAATAAACCTCTTTTTTGAACTGGTTCAACCGGTTGAGCTGGTTCAATTGGCTCGATTGGTTCGATTGGAGCTGGTTCAATTGTTGGGGAATTTTCCACTATTGGGGTTGAATCTTTCAAATTTTCAGTTGAGTCTGCATAATTATAATTATCTAACAAGGAAGCATGACCATTTGAATTTTCTGAATTTATAGCGGAACCCGGGGAGACTTGATTTAAATCAGCTGAAGGAGGTAATAAATTTTTACTATGAAGATCGGTGTCATTAGTTAAATCTTTTTCACTCATGTTAGTCGATGAGGGAACATCCACATCCACAAAGGAAACGTCTCTTGGTTCTTTGAAACCACCTCTACCAGGAGAGCCGGTTGGAGTTCTAAAATCTTCTGGGCCAGCAGAGAAGGATCTAGCATGGCGTTGGAGAGATTGTTTATTGAGATCTTGTATTGAGGCAGAAGGAGATTCTGGTCTTTTTGGAGCCGAAGAAGCGGCGATTTTTTTCTTATTTGGAGAAGCAATTAAGGACAGGTCAAGAAATTGATTAATTGTATTTAAATCAAGAGCGTATAGCATTGTGCCTAATTCTTCCCCGTTATAAAACTCATAAGTTGATAAATCTTGAGGGTCAGAATTTGAAAAATAATCATTTTTATCACCACCCATAATGATAATTTGATTAAAGTTAGGTAAGAAAGTCATGGAATGACCACATCTTGGACCTGGTCCATTGGAAATATCTTTGGATAATTTTGACCAAACCAAGGTATGTAAGTTCAAAACGTATAAAGCATCGTAAATAAGACCATGGAAATCATTCCCCCCGTAGATAAACAATTGATCATTAATGATACAGGAAGAATGTTCATTAACTGGAGGAGGAATATTACCCGAGGTGGGTAATTGCGACCATTTATTAATCAATGCGTCAAAGCACCATAAGTCATTTGAAACTTTTTCGTTATTATAAATCCCACCAAAGATATAAATTTTATTTTTGTATATTGACATTGAATGGTTTGCAATTGGAGGAGGTTTAAAATTATTCATTGGATCGATTAATTCCCATTTTGCCTTTGAACTTTTGAAAGTATTTAATTCAAAATAGTATAAGTCATTGAATACTTCCAGTTCTAATTGACCCCCAAATAAGTATAATCTTGACAGAGTTGAATTTAACGAAATAACTCCAATTGTATGTCCATATCTCCCGTTTGGTTTATTCAAAATATGGGATGGAATAGTGTACTTATTATTATTGATATTGAACAAATAGAAATTATTATCAGGATACCCATTAAAATCAGTATCAACGGTATCACCACCATAAATAATATAAGCATTACCACATAAAACCGACGAATGTCCAACTCTAGCTGGAGGATTGTTATTATTAGCTACTTCAATGTTCTTAGCCACGAATACATCATCTTTAGGAGCCAACTTCCAAGTATCTCCAAAAACTGATCCTTCCTTCAATCCTCCCATTAAAAAAATTTCATTTTTATCAGAAGAAATCGCTGATGCGGTATGTCTATAACGAGGAAAGGGTGAATCGTATAGTTTGATTCGTTTCCATGGACTCATTACATCCAGTCCAGTTGGGACTGACTGTCCCATCTGTTCTGATAACACCGGCTGGGGTAATATCTCTGGTACCGGCTCTGGTAAAGGCTCTTGCTCCTCTGGCACCAGCGATACTTCTGGTCTTTCAGGGAGAGGCTGACTCTCTTTATATCCTTGATACATCGAATTAGGACGATCTTCTATATGATCCTGCTCTGAACTAGTCATGGAGGTCTCAGAATCATCCACCTTCTTTTTACTTTTACCAAACTTAAAACGAGCCATTGGACTTAAATGAAGAAGAAATGGTGTAGGAAAACACCAAACAAAAAAAATTACCCAATTTGAATAACGTCCTAACAAACAAATACAAAGTCAAGTCAATATCTTTTTTAGGGAATTATCACGAGCCAGTGGTCAAAGTGGAGAATCCATGTGATCAGACGACTGCAAATCAGTCCAAGACTCTGCTACTATGCTACGGGTATGGTATGCCAGTCTTACCATGGTATGCTACTGGGGTGCGAGACTGGTGCTAGTATCGAGTAGTGAGCACTATACTTGTCTATGCGAAGCATAAACTGTTTGTAGATATAGTGAGTATTGTGAGTAAGTCATGCTGGTATAGTTGTTTGTATAGTTTGTATAACTGTTTGTATAGTTTGTATAGATGGTATAGCTGTTTGTATAGATGGTATAGTTGATGGTATAGTTGATGGTATAGTTGATGGTATAGTTGATGGTATAGTTGATGGTATAGTTGAAAGTAGTACAACTGCCTATTTGGTTGTATAGCTGCACGGTAAGTACAACACTGTCTATCATTTAACAGTATAGTTTACTAACTAGTAAACCAATACTATAACTAATAAGAGCCGTATCATTAGTCACAGCACATACTTCCATACTCGGAAAACTCTAGGCCAATATCAGGGTATCAGGATACATGGGGGTCTTGTACGATGCAATACTAAGGTTACTAAAGCATAAAAGAGCCTTTTAAACCATACAACTCAAATGATTTAACTTTCCATTTCTTAACAACTCCTCTTTCACCAGCTCTTTCTTGAGCAGGTTCCTTCTTTGAGTAAATGCCATTCTCTTATTAGCCTTCTTCTATGCTGCTTTGAGTAAGGCATTCTTCTTGTAGGGTCTCTTCTTGCAGGATCACTTATATAGAACTTCTTATAGAACTTCTTGTAGGCCACTGCTACTTTCGGTAGTTCTATTTAAACTTTTTTCGACTTATCTACTTTCTTAGCAGACTATTCATTGGCCTTCGCTGCTTTAACTTTCACTGTTGAAAATTTCATTGCTAGGTTTCCATTGATTTGAGCTGGGTTTTCAGCCATTTCAATGCTGCTCTGATCAGAATGAAATTCTACAGCATTACTACATTATACTAAATACTCGTGTCCATTAGTAGAATATGGCATTATCATTAGATTCTAGTTGTAGTTGCTGCAGTAGTAGTAGTGTAGCAGTATTGAAAAATCATTAGTACGCGAAAAACGACCACGATTATCAACTCACTCTTTAGCCAATATGGCTTCGTATAACCCCAATGATCTATTAAATCAGATCTTCAACTCTCCAGAAACATTGAATGAGATCCCGCAGTTGCTTAATCATACTCATCAATATAAAACCCAGTTGAATAGAGAATTAACTAAACAAATATCGCAGTACCAACATCCATCCCAATTAAATAATGATATTCTTGAATTGATAACTACTTTGAAGAGTACCAAGTCCAAGGCTGCTTCTACTCAGTCGAATATTATAGTCATGACCCAATCAATTCAGTGTTTGGACCAATATAAGAAGAATTTGGTCCTTTCAATGAAAATATTGAAAAGACTACAAATGTTAATTATATCCAATAATAAGTTAGACGGTATCATTCAAACTCATAATTATAAAGAGATTCTATCATACTTCAGTGTTGTTAAAGAATTAATGAGTTATTTCAAACCATATAAGTCAATCAATGAGATTAATCAATTAAATTTAATAATTAACAAGACACAAAATAAATTAATTGATGATATTTTCATTGATTTTGAAGACTCTTTTACTAATAATTTCACTAATAATCAATTAGTTTATGGATGTGAGATTTTAGAGTTGGTTGATTTAAAATATAAAGATAAATTATTGAATTGGTTTTATAATTATCAATTAAAAGAAATTAAATCAATTTTTAATAACTTGGATGAAGCTGGAAATTTAGAAAATTTAAATAGGAGATACATTTACTTTAATAATGTTCTTTCCAATATTCAGAATAATTACCTATCGATATTTCCTTCAAATTGGTTAATTGATTTAGAATTATCAAAACTTTTCTGTAAAATTACTAAACAAGATTTGATTAATCAATTATCCAATTCAAACCAAATCGACTCTTCTTTATTATTAACCTCCTTAACTAAAACTTTGGATTTTGAAAATAAATTAAATGATATTTTTAAAACAAATGATTTTGATAAAATAATTTCTAAATCTTTTGAACCTTATTTAATCATTTGGGTTAATGAACAAGATAAGTTCTTGAGTAATAAATTTATTGATTTTTTCCAAATTTCTAAAATTCCTCAAGAATATATCGATATCAATAATCTAAATGATTTCTTAACTATTCTTAAAGTTAATAATATTCCAAATATTGCTAATTCTTCGATTGAATTATTTAAAATTTTCCATAAAATTTTAACTCAAATTATTAAATTAACTAATGGTGAAGTTTTAATTGATGTTTCAAAAGTTTTCATTAAATATTTATATGAATATTACTTAAAACATCTTTTACCAATTATAAATCAATCAATTCATCCAAATCAAAATTCATTACCTTCGAATAGTCCCTCCGATAATATTGAATCAATCAAATATTTAACAATGGTTCTTAATACGGCTGATTATATCATTAATAATATCAATGATTTACAAGAAAAATTTAAAAATCTTATTAATGAAGATTACAAAGATAAGATTTCCTTTGAATTATGTCATGATTGGTATTTTGAATTAATAAATAAATCAATCATTTGTCTATTAAATAAAATATCTGATGACTTAAAATTTCCTTGGAGACAATTCGAAAATAATAATTGGAATAATATGGATTCTGTTAATGATGTTTCAACTTATATGATTGATTTTAAAGCTTGTTTAAATAATAATATTAAATTAATTTTACCCCTTATTATTAGAGATGGTTATATTAGAAATTTTTGTGATAAATTAATTGAAAATATAATTTATTCTTTTATGAATCATTTAAAACTAATAAAACCTCTTTCGATATTGAATATTGAACAAATTTTATTTGATCTTTCAAATTTGAAGGATTACTTATTAATTATCCCCCTTTATTCAAATCCTAATTATGATGAACTGAAAATTTCAAATGAAGATATTTCGAAGCTATACACTCGTTTGGTTAATAACCAATTTAAAAAAATTGAAACTCTCTTAAAATTACTCTTAACTCCAACTTTACCAGTTGATAATTTAATAGAAAACTACTTTCAATTGATCGGTGATAAATCAGTGGCTAATTTTAATAAAATCTTGAATTTAAAAGATATTGACTCTAATCAAAAGGCAAAATACATTGATAATTTCAACCTACAGTTAACTCTTTCCAATGACTTACAAGATGAGTCTCCAATATTATCAAATCTAGATGATAACTCATCAAACCTTACAAATAATTCAGAAGATTATCAATCCCAAAGTATACACCCTCAATCCCAACCTTTACCTCAACAACCTGATATAAAGGACCTCCTCAGTTCAAAGTCCCCTGAACCAAGCTTACCAGAGTTCTTGAAAAGCAAAAGCCCAAGGATTCTATCAAATAATTCCTTGAAGATAAACAACTTTGAAAAAAATTTAAGAGAATTTGCTCTCAATGGTGAAAACCAAGTCAACAAATTTAACGAAAACTTTAAAAACTTCGGTAAGCTCTTCAGAAAAGACAACAGTAATGAGTAATAACCTTAAAATCTTCTTTCATTACTTAATAGATAATTATTTGGCTATAGTACTTTTATAGTAGTAGTTTTTTGTAAGTGCAAAAAAAAAAAAAGAAAAATAGAAGTAGACGGAAATAAAAAGATCTTTACTAAACATCTTTCTCAAGCCATAATGACAAAATTAGTTAAAATATGTGGGTTGAAGACCCAAGAAGCTGCCGATAAAGCAATAGAATCCAAAGCAGACCTTCTAGGTGTGATCTTGGTTCCTGGTAGAGCAAGATCGATAGATCATGAAGTTGGCAAAACTATTTCCAAGAGAGTTAAATTGGAAAGAAGCAAATCGAAATTCCAAACCAGTAAAGAACTTATGGAGCATGCTCAGGAATTGAAGTTAAAAGATCACAATGAATACTTCATTAAAATACGTGATTTGATCATAGAAAATGGTCCATTCTTAGTTGGTGTATTCAGAAATCAATCTATTGAAGATGTTTTCAAGATAGCTCAAGAATTGGATGTTGATTTTATCCAATTACACGGTAACGAGATTTTGGAAGATTACCATAAATATAATCAAGATAAATTCAATGGGAAGTTTGGTATAATCAAAAGATATGTCATACCGAAAGATATTGAACTAATGTCCCAAACATTTTCGAATATGAATAATGGATTAGCATTAGCATTATTAGATTCGGAATTAGGAGGAGAAGGGAAAACAATAGATTGGAGTTATTTGAATAAAATGGATGGGCAGTTCATTTTAGCAGGAGGATTAAATCCGGATAATTTAGCAGATACTAATCAGTATGCTAATATTATAGGATTTGATGTGAGTGGAGGAGTGGAAAAGGAGAATGGAGAGAAAGATTTGAACTCGATTGATAGATTTATTACAAATGGTAAAAATTTATAAATGAATATGGATATTAATAATATATAAAAAAACATATATATATAAGTATATATACACGATAAAGAAGAGAAAAACCAATATACAAGATTATGCTTAAAATTAATCAGCTTGATCCCAATTACCAGGTCTTGGTTGTTTTGGCATTTGAGGACCACCAGCTCTTTTAGCCATAATGATTTGATCAATTGATAAGATGGTGTTAGTAGCTTCGGTAGCAAAATCAATGGCAGATTGTTTAGCGGATAATAAATCATATATACCATTTTGTTCAATATTCAATAAGCCATTTTCAGTATCGTTATCGATATCAATACCAACATTAAGACCCGAATTATCTTCAGCTGAATGAGCAGCATATAATTTACTTAATAATTCTGAAGAATCCAAACCAGAAGTTTCAGCCAAAGTTCTTGGAATAACTTCGAAAGCTTTAGCATAATTTTTAATTGCTAATTGTAATAAACCAGGAGTTTGTTCACCATATTTAGTAATTAATTTAACTAATTCGATTTCAACTGCACCTGCACCAGGTAATAAACGATTATCTTTTAATAAACCTTTAATAGCATTAACACCATCGTCAATAGCTCTTTCGACATCGTCCAAGGCATTTTGAGTAGCACCTCTAATAATGATAGTAGAAGTTCTTGATATGGAATCATTCAGTTGTTTAAAGATAGTAACACGATCACCACCAATTTCTTTAGTTTCAATGATATCAATTTCACCCATTTCATCAGGCATTGGAGCACCTAATCTTGGTAAAGGAGTAGAACCACAAACTTGACAAATTCTTCTTAAATCGAATTTAGAAGGAACTTTTAAAACCAAGATATTATATTTATTAAAATAATGTAAAGCTAATTCACCAATTGTAGAACCAGCAATAACAACTTTAACACCGGAATCACTAATTTCTTTACACATAATATCTAATTGTTGTTCTTCACCTTTTGAAAATTCTAACATTTCTTTAGCATTATGTAATAAAACTGTACCTTTAGTTTCAGTTGTTGAAATATCAATTGGACAAGTGAAAGCAACGACTTTTGATTTCCCATTGATATTTTTAATATGTCCTTCAGGTTCTCTTGGGAAAACCATACCTTTGATAACTTCTGATTGTGATAAAGAAGCACCCATAATTTTAACCACTCTAACTGAGTCAACGTTAAAATTATTTGGATTTTTTGGATTTATAATGATTTTGAAAGCTTCAATTACTAATTTTGAAATCAAATCTTCTAAACCGTATTGCTTAGCAGCAATGACTGGTTTAATAACTTTTAATAATTCATCTGAATCAGTGATTGATTTAACTTGTTCAATAACCAAATCATTTAAATTCTTCTGAAGGAAAGTATTGGCTAATTTAAAACCTTGAATGATTTCTGGAATACTTAAACCTAAATTAATCAATTTTTCACTAATATTCAAGAATTCTCCCGCTAATATAATAACCATATTTGTATTATCACCCATTTCGAATTCTTGTTGTTGAGATGCCATAATCAAAATTTTAACTGCTGGATGGACAATTTCCAATTCATTCAACATAGTGGCGGCATCATTGGTAATGAAAATCCTTCCTAAATGATTTACAATGATCTTATTACGACCACTTGGCCCCATTGATGTTAATAAAATTTTGGAAATTTCTCTAACGGCTTCAATATTACGGATCACAGCCCCGTCTGCATTGGAATGGGATTGGTACCCTTGCTTGAACAACCCGGCATTGGGTGCAGATGGTAATTTCAATGACATACTAAAGCTTATTCAATGAACCTCTGTGAATAACCTCCAAGTATCAAGCTGTGCTTATGGATCAATCGCGTCGAAAGGAAAAATTTGATGGCGAGCGAAAAAAAAGACGGCCACGCGACACGACCTTCTTCTATGATTGCAAAAATTTTCCTGCCAAACTACTACTATTAAACGATTAGAATAACGATGGATGATGCTTAAAGAGCTCTGAGCTTGTGTTTACCTTGTTCATAATTTGATCCTCAAGTTTCATTTCAAGAAAACGTAGAAGACTAAAAAAGAGGATAATTGGAAACAAAAAAAAAATGAAATGAAACGTAAAACCATAAAAAGGAAAGATTTTCAAGACAAACGGTTCAGGGGATAAAGATAGAAGCCAAGCCCAACCACACTGTAGAGACAAGCAATTACCAAATTCACCAAGTGCCCTTGAAGACCTACTTAGATAGGCAAGGCTCGTGCAGCGAGGCAGACATGAAATACCCCTGAAAACCTTCAGTGCGATGAACGAACTGATGATGAAATGGCCATCACAGCAAGTTCAACGCTTGTAGCTATTTCCAGCAGGAGGTAACAAAGAGAAAGTTTAAATAAGTATAACCCCGGGAGATTTACGATGGCACAATCGGATCTGATCTTAGATCATTGACAGTACGTCAACCATAGTGCAGTTTGGCTAACGTCATTCTCCGTGCTTGCAAAGGGACTCAATCGGAGAATCAAAGACTAATTCCATAATGGTTGTGAAAAATACGGGCTACGCTAGTGGGAATGAATATCCGTCAATACATTAATACACAAGATCTATAAGAGAAAGTCAGTCAGCTAATGAGTCAAGAGAGAAATCAGCCAGAAAGTTTATGAATTAGAGCCAAGTCTTCATCAGAGGCAAAATCCTTTTTAGATACTAAATCATGAATTTGTTTAAGCAAGCCTTCATATTTTTTGATTTTAGCATCTTGTCTACTAATATGGTTTTCATATTTAGAGACATTGTCCTGTAATTGTTGTTGAGCCTGTTTTTTACGTTGTCTACATTTCAGGGCTGCAACACGGTTTCTTTCTAGTAATCTTTCCTTTTTCCAAGCGGCGGTTCCAGGTATTGGGCCAGCATCGGGGTTGAAAATGACTTCATTATTGTAGATAAGCTGATGATTTGGCGGAGGCACCCCTGCAGCTCGTTCTTTCTGTTGAGTAGGTAGTGAGGGGGGTGGTTGCACTGGGATTGGTCCAGCTTCATTGGGGCCCAACTGGGAATTTGAGGCGAAATGATTGATCATTTCATTATTGAACTGTGGGGGTTGTTGAGGTTGTTGAGGTTGTTGAGGTTGAGGTTGTTGAGATTGTTGTTGTTGTTGTTGTTGTTGGTCAGGAATGAATTCGTCTAAGCCATTATTGCTGCCATCACTATCGAAAAAGGCTTCATGATTAATGATCTGTCCAATTTGACCATTGGAAATGGATATTCTTCTTCTACGGGGGACTCCTTCTGAGCTATAAGGTAACATCATGGTAGAATCAAATATAGGAGGATTTGTAATTGGATAACTATTGATATCAAAAGGGTTATGGAATGATAAGTTTTGTTGGAATGCTTGAATAGCATTGAAATTAGTGTCTGCCGGGGGATTATTCCCATGTCCATGCATCATCTTGTTAATAGGCGTAGGATTACTATTTGAGTTTGGATTTGATGTATTGGCAGAATTAGCATTCGATGTATTATTATCTGAATTGTTATTTGAGGTTAATGGCGTAGCCATTTGTGATTGATTAATTGGATTAGCCATTCGTGACTGATTAGGATTAGCGTGCAAGTGAGCATAATCGATCAAATGATCGTCAACACTTTTGGCCTGATACTGCGACTGAAGAGGCTGATTGGATGTATAGTTCATATTGAAATCATTTAAGCTTAAAACCCAAGCAAGAAGAGATGTTGTTGAAAAAAAAGTGATGGGTCAATTATTGAAATTATGAGACACTTCTAAGCAATAGAAAAAGGAAAGAGCCACTTCAGAGAAAAAGAAAAATCACTTTTTTTTTTGGTGCGCATTGTTCGGAGTTAATCCCAATTGGGAATTGTTCCGCAACAGAACCCTTTATCCACTGTGGAGACAAATGGCCTCCGTACACCAGGAACTCACATCCATACACCAGCTTGGATGCGATACATCACACTGATCAATACGATACATCACATTGGATACATCACATTGGATACATCACATTGGATACATCACATTGGATACATCACACACATCATATACATCACATATATCACATACATCACATCACGTACATCACGTACAGCACGTACATCAACGCTGTAGATACCCATTGGACCGCCAATGGCCACACTCAATGGAAAATACTCGTTTCAAGACTCAGACCAATTCCACCACTTGAGTAAACTACTCAAGTACAACATTGAACCAAGCCAACTAGACCACCTATTGGAAAACTACATCGAAGAATCGGAATACCCGCCGTCCAAGATCAAACAGGATGAGCACGTTGTTTATGATTTCGATTTCATCATCGAGAACCAACGAGGAATGAAAGTCTTTGGGATACCGTTGTTCTCTAATAAAAGTCTTCTACCGTTCATTGATCCTTCGAATTATCAACACATCAACGGCAAAACCATCTTGTTAAACTATAATAAGATCGAGAACTACCCATTACCGGACTTAGCCTGGAAGTGGGGGTGGTCCAATTGGTACATTTATATGGTTCACGACGTTGACGATCAAGGTTGGATTTATTCAAGTTTAATCTTTAACTGGAAATTTAATTGGAAAGGTAAATACTACTTCGGTAACTTCATTAGAAGAAGAATCTGGATTCGTTTAAGATATGAAGTTCATCATATATAGCATCAATAAAGACTAGTTTATATTAGAATAAAAAAACAAGAAGGTAGAATTAACCGCGCTAACTATTTTTCACAACCAAAGCATGTCTTCTATTGATTTACCTCTAGCAGTGCTGCTTATCAAGTTGAATATAACCAATAAAGATGATTCCATTGACGACACCATCCGGGAATTGCTAATGAAGTTAGACCCTCCGTACGGATCGTTGAAACCCAAACAGCCCGATTTACTGCAAATTATATCTTACTTCAAAATCAATACATCACCTCCAAATCGGGTCACGGAGTTTAATGATTTGACTAAATTGTTGAAACTCTACCAGTGTTTGCTTGCTGCTGAGAATAGTTCTATTTATTTAACTTACTTGATAAAAATTAACCAAATTTTGATCAATTCAATCCAAGATTCTGATCTTTGGGATAACCATTCATTTAGATTGAAAAATATCAATACCAGAATAATTAAATGTTTATTCAGCATATTCATTCACGAATTGAATATTGATATCATCAATTTCAAGTTGAATTTGGTATTGGAGTTCCATAAAAAATCGCTAGCTCACTTCATGAACTCGAAGCTCATTATTGACCACGATTGGATTATCAACATTGGTAAAATCTTGTTCCAGCTAGTCAATGTCAATAAAGCACCTGTTGACCTGTTGCCCAAGCTTCCTCAAAATGAATTCGTTTTGAAATATTGGAATATCTTAACCGCCCCACCATTTTCAGGATGGGGAGTCCCAAAGATTTCATTGGATGATTCTTTGAAGAATATTCCAAATGAATCCAATTCTAAATTATTGAAATCTTTCATCTTATTATTCAACGATTACATCGTTTTTACAAAAAAAAATAACCGTGAATCTAGTTTAATAACTTCTTTATTAATTATGATTATGTTATGCTATAAAGATGATTCGCTTATTCGATTTTATCATAGAGTTTCTACTTTAAGTACTTGATTCCTCCTCCTGATATAAAATATCCTAAACCACTTAATACTGTGGTACTGGCCACAATATATTCAAAGAATTGAAAAATTAAATTTAAGTCCGCTTCACCAATTCCTAAGACCATTTCAATACCGGGTCTCAATACTAAACTTCCAACATATACCATCTGTAATCCAGTGTTTACTTTCCCCAATAAACTTGGTTGTACGCTGACTGAACTGTTTCTAAAGTCAATAAAATTTTTAATGGTTTTAGGTTCTTTCATCGTACGATATCTTATATAAAATGCCCAAAAACTTAACAACACATCTCTACCAATGATTAAAGTAGCCAAATAAACTGGTATTATATTACTATAACCAAGACTTAAAGTACATGTTGTCATGAGAAATTTATCAGCCATTGGATCAAGAATTGATCCAAATGTGGATTTCAAATTGAATCTTCGGGCAATGTATCCATCAAGAAAGTCGGTTATACATGAATAAGTAAATATAGACATAGCCAAATTCGGCTCATTCTTTATGATGAAATATCCAATCATTGGCGTTGTGGCAATCCTGGTCATGGTGAGAATATTCGGTAAGGTAAATAGTTTATTACTGACAACTTCTTTTGCAACCGCTTCTTTAGGTTCCTTTTCAATGGCGGTTTCTTGTGGTTTGGGGGTAGTACTGTACTGGCGTAAAAATGGTTTGATGGTTTTACCAGTTATAGATGGATTTGATATTCTACTCGGTTGTAGAAACCGTGTCGAGGTGACACTTATACTATGACGAAAAACATTTGTAGACCTCAAGGATACAGACCCTTTTATTATCCCTACTGGACTAGCCAACCTAAACATGTCTGGTTCGTATTGTCTGGTTTGTATTGAAACTCAAGAGATCAGACTGTTTTGAAATATATATATGTAGTGTGAGAGAAGTCAAAAAAAAAAAAAAAATCAGACAAAAAAAGCAGTAATGAATAATGAAAATTAAATTAAAATATTAAAGAACTAAATCTATACTTTGTAAAACTATGTAAAAACTTATTTGGGTAAACCTTGATCATTGACCAATGATTCTTCAGTATCTTGAGGACCATCACCAACCTTGGTTAAGATAATTCTTGAAACACCTTTATAAATTTCTGGATCAGTGACTATATCAGTATCGGTGATCAATTTTGAAGAATCAATTTTATCCCAACCAGTTACTTTATTGAAAAATTTATATAATAAACCTAAAACTTTTGATTCATTTTCTTCTTCATAATAAACCACGGCATTTGGGCCAGCATCGAAGGTATAAGCAGCAATTATTTTACCTTCTTGCTCATTTAAAGCATGGATTAATTTGATAATTTTTTTAGAAGTATCATTCAAGTAGAAAATTGGAGGAGACGAATCCAAGCAAACTGAATGGAAAGAGTTTGAATCTTTCATAGTTAAGTCACCAAATTTGGCAAAATCCTTATCTAAGATTGATTGTTTCATTTCTTCGTATCTTTTTGGAACAACTTCTTTGATTCTCCATTGGAATAAATCAGAGGTGGCAACAGTAGTCTGCATCCCACTAGTTGAAGGAGTATCTTTTTTATCATCACTAACAACTAAAATAGCAGCCTTCATATTTGGCCAGTGGTTGATTGGGGCAACTTCGATGGCTTTTGAATCTTCACCATTTTCTTTAACCCCCATATCCCAGGCAACATAACCACCAAATAATGATCTGCAAGCAGAACCACTACCTTTTCTGGCAATCTTGGAAATTTCTGACATATCTTGAGGTAATTTATATAATTTTGATATAGCTACAACCAAAGCAGCAAAACCAGCAGCTGATGAAGCTAAACCAGCGGCGGTTGGGAAATTATTTTCACTGACAATGTGTAACCCCCATTGACTTAATTTTGGTAAGCTAGAATTTTTTTCTTCTAATTCAACTCTCAATTTTTTCAAATCATCTAAACATGCTTTAGTTCTTGGTGAATTGATTGATTCTTGTTTCCCATTAAGCCATAACTTGTCTTCGGTAAATGATTCACTAGTTGCAACTGAAGTCAAGGTTCTCAAGTCATTTTGAGATAATGTGACTGAAATAGAAGAGTTTGTTGGTAAGTTAAGTGATTTGTCTCTTTTCCCCCAATATTTCAAGGTCTAGATATACGTTAGTAAATGGCTAATGAAAATTTCAACTCAAAGGGACATACAGCAATATTAACAGGTGCAGTGGTTGATGCGGTATAAACAGTCATGGTATCCATATATTCTATAGTTGCAATTGTTAAAGAGGTGTGTTATGAAATCGTTGATGATTTTTCAGTTTGGAGTTTTTTTTTCTCAGATTTTTCACTGTCGCGATACGAGGAATCGTCGTATAATACGTAAAACATTAAGATATTTGATAATATTATAATTACATACACATATGATGAGAAGAGGCAATTGAAGATAGAAAAAAAAAAAGATATAGTAAAAGAATAGAAGGGGATGAAAGTTTTTTTTTAGAAAAAAATGGTTCAAAAAGACAAGAAGAAAACAACTTATAGACAAAGTACAGGAAGTAATATTACTTCAAAAAGAGAAATAAAAGACTAAAGAAAAAACATAGTTTCTTTGATAAGTTGATGATTTTCAAGATCTTTTAAATTTTTGAGAAATTTTAAATTAACAAAGGCAACAAAACGGAATAGCAAGTAAGATTAAAGTATTTAAACAACAAAAACAACAATTAAGGGTAGAAAGGAATGGAAAAAATATAATGGAAAAAGATTAAGCCCTAGTCCATTTCCATAATCTAGCTTTGCAATCCCCACTACCGGTTGCAAAGACACCTTCGGTACCTTCAGAATTGAAACTAACAGCAACAGAGATAACGGAGTTACGATGACCTTGTAACATTAATAAAGGATTACCAGAAGTTTGATCCCAGAAGATGACACCACGATCTTTGGAACCGGATAAGATATATTCATTATGAGGAGTTGAGCAAACGGAAAGAACAAAATCTTTATGACCAATATAGGTAACTTCACAAGAGGATTTTTTATTTAATGATTGATTATTTGAGGAAGAATTATTTGAAGCAGATTGATTATTATCTTGTTTAGCTTCCAAATTCCATAATTTAACGGTACGATCCAAAGAACCTGAAGCAATTTGTTTACCATTAGTTGAGAAAGCAACTGAGTAAACAGAATCTTCATGACCATTACCATTTTCATTACCAGAATCTAATCTTTCAACCAAGAACCCAGTAGTTGAATCCCAAACTCTAACAGTTCTATCTAAAGAACCAGCAGCGATTAATTTACCATCAGGAGAAACAGCAACAGTAGTGACACCGTCTTCAATTGATAAAGTTAAAGAACATTGAGAAGATCTCAAATCCCAAATTCTAACGGTTCTATCACCAGAACCACTAACTAAACGATCACCATCGGGGAAAAAATCTAAAGAATAGATATCTTGTTCATGACCTCTTAAAATTTTAATAATTCTTTTAGTGGTTAAATCCCAAATTCTAATTAACTTATCTTCAGCACCAGTAGCTAATAATTTACCATCAGGAGAGAAACAAACTGATCTAATGTATAAATCACCATTTGAATTAGCAGTCGAAGCACTAACACTAGTTTCTTGACCATTAGCCCCAGTTCCATTTTCACTATTTGCATTTGAACTTGAAGTATTTGCATTTGTAGCCGAATCAGAAGACTCATTATTAAGAGAATTTGAAGAATTATCATCAATTAATTTAGCAATCAAAGCACCAGTTTTAACATTGAAAACTTGAGTAGTTTTGTTACAACCAGTAGCAATAAATTCCCCATTTTTGGAAAATCTAACACAACAAACCACGGAAGAATGATCTAAAGAATGAATTAAATCAACGTCCAAATCACGTTTAAAAGCCGGGTTATACAAGACATAATAACCTGGTTTTTGTTTTTTGAAATCAGGATTTGCTTTAGAAACATCCAAATCAGTTAAGAAAGGAGGAATATCTTTAATATGAACTGCTTTTTGTTGAGGATCCACGATATATTGAGATCTATCAATAACGGATAAAGCAGTTGAAGTTTCAGGGTTTAATTTTGAAGAATCATCTTGATTAATTTCTGACTTAACTGGTTCCAATTTAGCGTTTGCAGGAGAATTGATTTTTTGTTCTGGATTTGAAGGAGATTGTTTAACGGAAATTGGTTGAGATTGAGGTTGAGAACTATTTGCTGGTTGTTGTTGAGCAAGATTTGGTTGGGTTGGATATCCGTAAGGTAATCCATTTGGTTGTTGTTGCTGAACTGCTTGTTGTTGGGCATGGGCTTGGGCTTGGGCTTGTTGTTGTTGTTGTTGAGCTTGTTGAGCTTGAACTTGCCTATCTCTGTTTTCTAATTCAGTCTTCAATCTCAAAATTTCTTCTTCATAGGCTTCTTTGATTTTTCTATGAGCCATTTCTAATTCATAAACGGTTTGTCTTATTTGTTGCATTTCTGCAGTTTGTTGATTATACTTTAAATCATAATCTTCTTTAACTTGTTTGAAATTAGATGCTTCAGTTAAAGCAAATTCAAACTCTTGCTTAACAGCTTCCAATAATTCATTCAATCTTTGTTGATGTCTTTGTTGTTGAGCCTGCTGTTGTTGTTGGACTTGCGCAGCAGCAGCAGCTTGCTGCTGTTGCTGTTGAGCTTGTTGTTGCTGTTGTTGTTGCTGAGCCACGGCTGCAGAATTGGAAGTATACACCGACATGATTAGACGATATTAACCACTTATAAACTTATCAAGTCAATCCGAATAACTTTTGTTTTCTCTTTTCTTGAAAAGAGAAAAAAAAAAAAAAAAAGGGTAGTGAAAAGGTTGAAAAAAAAGAAAAAATTATAAAAAATACTGACAAACTTGACCTAAACTCACTAAAATACGATAAAGAAGGTAATTTGATAGTTGGGAACAATTTAATGAGCGAATCAATGGATATAGACAGATCGTCAGATTATTTTGGCGTGTGATTGATTAAGGGGAAGGAAAAAAAACAATTGGAAGAAATAGGAAACCAGGAAAAAAAAATCGAAAAAAGAGGGAGTATCGAAAAAAGAGAAGGAAGAATTTGTTGATGGAAGTAAAATACAACAAAAGACAAAAAAAAAAAATAATAAAAAGCACTCAGAATACAATTCCAGCACAAGCACAGTTCCAGCACGTCTGTCTGTCCACATTTGCCTACACAGCGTTTGCTTGTATCGCACACCCCCCAACCCCAGTGGTGGCTACTACACACCCGCCGTAGCTACATGGACTCGCTGGTTCGGTTGAAGCAGCAGGCCAATTGAAGCATCTGTAGTCGAATCAGCTGGAAAATCTAGGGAGAGCGCACCCCCTTTTTGCTCGCTGTTTATTTTCCAACGGGGAGAAACAGGGGGTGCAAAAAAAAACAAACAAAAAAAAAAAAAAAAATTCAAACAAAAAAAAATTCAAAAAAAAAATTCAAAAAAAAATTCAAACAAAAAAAATTTAAAAATTTAAAAATTTAAAAAAAAAAACAAAGGAACAGAAAAACAAATTCCGTGCACCCGTGCACCAGAAAAAAAACCCACCGAAACAACTCTCGGTTCTGAGCGGAGTTGTCAAGTAGCGAGATACCAGGAGAGCCAGCACCCGTTCCCCCGGGACTCGGTGCGGCCGGCCCTCGTAATTGGCCGGCCAGCAGCGAGCCCCCGGTTGTGGAAAAAAGCGCAGGTGCCCCGGATAAAAGCAGGAGCTGGTCGGAAGGCCGGTGGCATCTGCTCGGATCAGGAGCTTAACCCTCGTAGTGGGATCAGGGGAGCCGGCGTGTGCGGAGCAAAACGTGTATCACGTGACGCGTTTGTAGGTTATAGTGTGGAAAAATGAACTCGCTCGAGTGAATAAAATAGGATGATAGAACAGGATAATACAGGACAATACAGGATATTACTGGGTGATTGGACAGCATCAGAATGGTATACTTGGGTAATAAGATTTTTAGAGGGAAGAAAGAGCAGGAATTGTACGATAAGACGTTTGCGGGTAGATACCAAAAGGCGTTCAGGAGGAACCACTTTGTATATTTTGGATTACCGTTTATGTTATCAATTGTTGCCGGATCAATCTACTTACAAAAATTTACATCAACGAAATGGGAAGCTTACGATGAGAAATACAGACAGATCAACGAAGAAGAGATGTTGAAAATGGTGGAAAATAAACGACAAGTTGATAAGAAGAATGATTACTATAGGTTACAGGGCCTTCTCAACGACCATTTAAGTAGCGAGGTGAAATCCAATGACGATTACGAAATAGTAAGAGTTCAAAGAAAGAAGGAGGATGAACCAGTTTGGTGATTTTTTAGGTGTATAAAGTTTTGATGCTCATCGCATTTTTTTTTGTAAGGATAATACTGCTTCTTTAACAGAATGGTTTCGTTTTCATGTGAAGTGTGTAATGACACTATTCAAAAGAAGAAATTAGACCAACATAAACAACGTTGTTATGGTGCTTACTATACGTGTATTGATTGTTCGACAACATTCCAAAATAATGATTATAAAGCTCACACTTCGTGTATGACTGAAGCAGAAAAATATGAAAAAAATTTTAGAGCCAAAGCTAGAAGGGCTCCGGTGATTGACAAGAAACCAAAGGAAAAGGAACCAAAGAAACCAAAGGAAAACGAACCAAAGGAACCAAAGGAAAAGGAACCAAAGGAACCAAAGGAAAAGGAACCAAAGGAACCAAAGGAAAAGAAACCAAAGGAACCAAAGGAAAAGAAACCAAAAGAAAACCTTTTACTCAATCATTTTGACGCCAATTTATACAAGGCTATTAAGAAAATTTCTAAAAGTTCTAAAAAAGATAAAAAACAAATCATGAAAGAATTAAAATTATCTAAAAATGAGAAAAACGAAATAATAATTAGTTTATAATGTATATAGATTACTTTTTAACCGATTTATTTAATGCTTTATTCATTTTGGAATAAAATTGAGATAATGTATTATAAGGGAAAGTTAAATTATCACAAAAATAATCCGGTAACACTTCTAATAATTTTTTGGAATTTAACCGTCTTTCTTCATTGTCATCTTCTAAATCATTCAAAAACGTTGGTAAATAATTCACTTCGGCGGCAATTTCAAAATCTTTCTGTATAATTAATTTATATTCTATATGGATCGTCAATTTTTCATTAGTATTAACCTGTTTAACATCAAAGTAGAATTTACTCTCATCTTCCTCGTAGTTAACAATTCTTAATCCAGTTAACAATTCTAACATATCCAATATTATACTGATCGTCTTTAATTCTTTATTCAATTGGTCTTCGTTAATGAGTTCGGGCTCGTTCGTAAATTGATTGGTTATATTCTTCTTCTTCCTAATGGGTGATTCATACGTGGTTTGGGCAGTATTATTATATGATAAATCAGGATACTCTTCCCCTAATTTTTTCCCCTTTAATGGCGTTTCATTCAATTGTAGTATACTTTCATTGGAATTCTTTTTTGGAATCATCCCTATTAATTGTTCAATCGTATCTTGTTGTTGTTCAATCTTTTCACTCATCTCTCGAATAATCTCTTCATCCTTACTTATCACCTCTTCGTTTTGCTTCTTGAACTTATCATATATTTCATCCTGTTCATTATTCACTAACGAATTCATAATGGCTATTAATCCCTTCACATCCTTACTTTTCACAATCTCCGCCTCTGTTATTTCTCGTTTCTTCCCTTCCTTCATTAACTTCTTCGTTATCTTCCCCGGGGTCGTATTCACCTTATCACTACTAGATCGTGACGTTGGTCGCGTCTTGGAGGATCCCGGTCTCGAAGAATTGTTCGGCGTAGGATACTTCTTGATCTGTTTCTTTGATTTACTTGATTGTGGTGTGCTTATCTCCTCGGTTTCCTTCTCGCTTTCAATACCAGCCTCCGCTTCTTGCACTCTCGATGTTTTCCTGATCTTGGTCCCGGTATTATTACGTGTCTTTGCCATCCTTGATGTTTTCCTATAGCTATCTTGTAATGAGAAGAGATTGTTGTGCTTTTCTCTCTGATTTTTTTTTTTTTTTTTATTTTTGTTAGTTTTCACAGAGGGAACAAGCCAAAAAAATTCCAACCGCGTCCTCAACTCACATCATCTTACTCTAGATAGCCTTCCCAACTCCTGTAAGCGTGATCGTAGTAATAAGTAGATTTTGGCCTTATTCAGCATGGTCTAACACTGGCTTGTAGGCTTTATTCGAGATTCGTGTAGTAAACGCAGGGTCTATTCGTCTCATGGTGAATTTTTCCAAAATACTCAAATACTCAACTAGTCCTTCTTTTAATTCATTATATCTGATTTGAATGGACAAACCGTGATAGACGAGTGCTTAACTGGTCCTAGACAGGTATTAAATGAATGAAACTGCATCCAACGACTCAACCGAGTCAAGAGAGCCCAATGGAAGAATACCAACTGCATCTCAATTAGAGATCATCACCCATCCATGTGAACCAAATACCTTATTAAAGGTGAAAGCAGGCCCAGGAAGTGGTAAAACATTCACGCTTGCTCATAGAATCGCACACCTCATCAAAAATCGAGATATAAAGCCTAGCGAAGTGTTGGTATTGTCAATGAGTAATCGAGCAGTCAATAACATTCAAAAGACATTAGCAAAAATCCTAGATGACCAGACAATCAAGGAGATCACGGTCAATACATTCCATTCATTTTCAAGCCAATTGATTGATGAATACTCTCAGTTTTACTACAAAGATTATAGACATAAAAGGTTAATGGATGATATAAGTTGGAGAAATTTTTCTAATATTTTCTCGGGTAAGGTTATAAGTTTAGATGGTGAATCTGTCAAAGGTTCTATTACTCCAGCCTCATTAGAGAAGGTATTGTCGGATATTAAGATTGGAAAAATTAGTGTTTCTAAAGCTGCTTCGGAGTTCCAATTGAACGAAGCTTATTTAAAGCTATTAATTGAGTATATGAACAAAAATGGATTTATCCGATATAATGATTTGATCATCAATGCATTAGAGTTGATCCAAGACTCTTTGGACCAGTTGAATGAGGTTGGTCAGGTCCAATTGATCCCAACGTTGTCGAGGTATAAAGTTGTAATAGTTGACGAATTTCAAGATATGTATCATCAATTATTATCGATTATTCATTCGTTAGTAAAATACCCAACTGTTAATAATGGCCAACAACTTAAACATCTAACTATTGCAGGTGATCCAAATCAAAGCATTTATGAATTTTTAGGATCCAAACCTGAATTAATGGATTTTATTGATTATGATTTCCCAAGTTTCCAAATATGTGAATTGAGTATTAATGAGACATTTAGATTAACTAATGAAATCTCCAAGATGTCTAGCAAGATAGCTTTTGGTACAGACTCTAATATAATCAGTTCAAAAGGGCAAGGTGAATTACCAATAATAAGACAGCATTATTCCCAATATCAAGAGTATATCTTCATTATTGAAGAAATAATTCGCTTGATATTTGAACTGGGTGGCTTAATTAAGCCAGCTGATTGTATAATTTTAACTAGGTATAATAAGGAAATTGATGAAATAAGTAAAATCATGTCAACGATATATGATTTAAATTTTGAAAAATTAACGTCTGGAAATGAATGGATCAAAACTAAACTTCATTGCTTCTTGGATATACTTTACATTTTAAATAAAAATGCTGGATTTGAATTCAGTTTATTAAGTTTATTATTGAAAATTGATAACAAGATAGGCAATCGAGGAAGAATCTCAAAACTATTCAACGAATACAATTCTTGGATGAAAAATAACCAAAGCAGATCATTAGAGGATTATTTAAATGAACAGTTGATCCAGGATTCTACTAAAAATAACAAAATCTTGAAATTGAAACAAATTTATAAGATTGATAATCAATCAGTTTTAAATAAAATCAATTCATTTTTGAAAAGCATCCGAGATGAAAGGAATAAGATCTTTGAATCGTATAATAACGCAATTGCAACTCAAGATCATGAAACTATCAAGAATTCTATAACCCCCACTATGATATTGGAATCAATATTTAATATTGCTGAAGCCCTGGGGATACTTGACTATATTAATGAGCCAGACTCTCAAGGTAAACATAAGGTTCAAGATAACAAGCAGATTGAAAAAGATCATAAATATATTTTGAAAAGATGGTTGTACTCTTTTAATTCATCATTAGAATGTTCATTTGCCAATTATATCGAATCAAACAAAGAAAGTACCTTCCTAGATCATTTCTTAAGAAACTGTAATGATGAATGTCCCATTGGGAACCAAGATTCAATCAAACTTTCCACAATACATACTGCTAAAGGTCTTGAATATCCAATTGTATTTATAGTCGGGTTATCGAAGTTTGGAAATAAATCATACTGGGAATCTTTATTGACTAATGAGAGTAACTCAGTATCCAGAGACTTATCTAAATCAAGGCTATTCTATGTGGCAAGTACAAGAGCACAATCTGTATTGTATTTAGGTAGTACTAAACCAATTGATGAATTATCATCGGAAGTTCAACAAACGTTTACAAATAAATTACCCCAACTATTAGATAGCTCAAAATTAATGTCAAATTTACTGACCCAACTACAAAGACCTTTACCACATGAAGCTAAGCTAAAATCTGGGTTACAATCTTATCATATCTTCAAATCACGGAAACAAAATTATTGTACTTCATCCAAAAAATTTAACTCAATAGAATGCACCTCTAGCGCATCCGTTTGGCCTATGAGCAACTTTACAATACCTGTTCCAATTTCCACGTCAAGTAAATGGAGATTAAAACCCTGTAAGGTTATGCTTAAATTGCTTATGAAAAGATGCTGATATTCTGAATCCTTACACAAAAGACCTTAGATATTTCATGATAAAACAACAATAGACATGATATTACGTGATTTGGAATTTCGGGCTCTGCAAGTACTATCAAGCCTTCCACCTACAGTTTTTGTGGTGACCTTCTTCGGAGTTTTACAACTTTATCCTAAAGGTGACTCATTTCACAGTTCTTAAATGGCAATTTGCACTCATCAGGATCTCATTACATAAACCAGATACCAAAAACGGATGAATTATGAACAATCACCTTGAATTTGACAGGTGGGCTTAAACCCCAGCTAACTGAATATTTCGTTTCAACCACTAATATCCCAGCTAATTACTTTATTACCACGGCCCAATACATGGCTCTCAATGACTGAACTGTCAAGTACTAAATAAAGACCTTAAAAACGCAAAAAGCGCAAAAAAAAAACGAACCAAAAAAAAAAAAAAAAAACAGAAAAACTCCTGCGGATGCGGAGCGGTTCAGGCGTTCATAAAGAAATATTTATCTAAAGGGAATAACTGGCGGTATGTCTTGCTTATAACTGGAAGCTCTTACAGAGTTGGTTGCAATATGCACGAATAGGACTAGTGGGTTTACGTCCTGCTAACATTGTTGCATGTAAACTGACTCCGGTTGGGGGAGCCAACCGGTTTTTTAAGACAAAAGGTTTGCTTCCCAGACTCTTATGGCTCAAAGTCACGTATTTGACTCGGTATGATAACGGTTAACTACTAATGTCATATCGAGTGTGATTGTATTTCCGTTTCGATTCACATAATTTGATTTTTGATTTCAATATTTATCCGTTATGGCAAATTACGATTGCATCATTTTTATACTTTGCTAATTCCTATTACCTTTTATTTTTAGGATAAATTCCGTTAACTAACAGATCTTTTTTGAAGTCCAATTGTATTTTCAACTGGTTTTCTAAACTAAGACACTGGTAAGATAACTGAAGGGGACTTGATTCAACAACTAGAGTTCAAAAAATATCGAAAAGATCGGTTCTAAAACAGTTTAATTTTCAAAAGAACATTTCTACAAAATTTAGATTTCAAAAGTATTTTATATTTACCAATCTTTACTTCTGGCTGTCGTTCCTTCTGATGACAATACTTCAACCTTCACAGAATTCTACCCCATTCTATGGTGGGAAGAAATGTGCAAAATCATCCTTACAAAGTAACGATAATGATCAGCTATCAAATTATTTCGATGATTATATTAACGAATATCCTGATATTCCCAAATATATAAACGAATTTCAAGTTAAATTGAATAAAAATAATTCAATACAATGGAATATGTCTTTTCAAGATTCATTGAATAAATCATCTGGTATGAATAATTTCAGCACAAATAATAAAAAAGATCATAAAACAAATAATGTTAGAAAACCATCCATCATTGTTTTCAAAAAGAAAAAATTAACTAATTTTAATCATGGAAATATTTACGAACATAACTTATCCAAACCTGATATTGACAATTATGACCAAACAAAATCAAAAGTTAGTTGCTCAAGATGTAGAAAATTCAAGAAGAAGTGTTCAAGAACTCTACCTGAATGCTCGACATGTGCTTCTTCAGATGAGTTGTGTGTCTTCTTACCAAGAAAGAAGAAATCAAAAGCTTCTACCACTAATACTTCTACGTCTTCCAAAAGTCGTACTTCTTCAAGTTCTAGTTGTAATTTGGCTACTAATGATTCTGAACTTACATCTCCTTTAACAAAAAGCTCATCTGACTGTTTGCCATTACCCCCAATCTCATCAGTTCTTCCTATTCAAAGCAGTACTCATTTTAATTTTACTGATAATAAAAGGTTATCTTTGCCAAATTTAAATTCCATTTTACTGCCTATAGATCCACAAGTCTCTGCTAATAGAAACCTGAGTATCTCCTCTATATCCTCACAACCAGTCAAGCATTATTCTTATACTCATGGTTCCAATGTTCCACAAAGTCTGTTTAAAAAGCATTCAAATGATTTAGACAAAATTTTAAATTGACTCTTTCGTTTCTATCCCATTTGCATTCTCCTTATTTATTTGATTCATACGGTTTTCTTATTGTTCTATTCAATTCTACATTTAATATAAACAATTTTTTATTGAAACGATGTAGATTTCTTCTATTCATCTAGCTATTAATTACATATATTAACTTTTACGTACCTTATTTAAGCTTAGACAAAATATCTAGAACAGCGGAGTTTTTCTGATCACCATCATCATCATTACTATTATCATCATCGCCTAATCCACCAAGGGGGTCATATTCGTCGTCATCATCATCTACCTCACCAGACCCATTCACTGGTACGTCTTGTTCCTTTTCATGCTTCAACTCTAAATCATCTTTATGATGTTTGCCGAATTCGTCAGATATATTACTTTCGAGATCCCCTTCTTCGTTATTTTTGTCATTATCATCACTATCGTCGTCACTTTTAATAACTTTTATAATGTCTGTTTGTTCTTCCCTATCGAATTCCTTAATCTGAATATTTTCCGAAAAAGCAACTGATTTCTTACTAGATGGAGTAGAGTTTCCTGAAGTTGACCCTGGAGTTGGCGTTTGGTTAGGGGTAGAGTTTGATGAAGTTTTTTGTCTTTTAACGGTTCTTTTATCATCATCGTCTTCTTCCTCATCATCTTCATAAGTCGGTATCATGTCATCATCTTCATCATTTGCATTATTCCCAAAGTTACCAGGTAATTCAAGATCTTCCATTTCAAACTCTGGAGAGGGTTCTTCATCGTCTTCGTCCTTTTTAGTATCTGGAACCGTGTCTTTCTCATCTTCGTCCAAAATTTCTTTTAATTCTGTTCTAGTAGTATACAACTTCTCTAATTTATTGTCAATTATACTAATCTTGGAATCATCAGTTGTTAAAGCATCACTCAAAACATTTTTAAGTCCATCCAATATTTTGATTATTTCTTTTCTATCACGTTTTATCTCATCAATATTTTGTTTTGACATATTACATAACTTCTCTAAAGTATTCAATTTGGATATATAGATCTTGGGGGATGGTAGATTATCTGATAATCCAGGATTATTCGGCAAATATGTCTTGGATTGAACCCCAACCTGATTAAGATTGGCTTGACTAACATCGACAAGTTGGTTTAAGTGTAGATAAGTATTATTTAAATGTTTCAAATCAGGGACAACTGAATCGTTAGAAGCAGTTGGTCTGCTAGCCGATTGGTCGTCCGATGCATTATCAGTTACAACTTTATTTTGCTTAGATAACTCAATTGATTTCCGGAAATTGATAATATCTGCCCCAGAAAACACTTTACGCTGCTCCCAAACACCAATTAAACGTTCTACTTTCGGTTGAATGTTTGCATCAAGAGACCGGAAAACCTTGTTGAATACTTCAGGTAAAACTTTGGAAAATTCTTGAATAAATTCATACTTTCTTTTATGTCTTGCTTGTTGAACAACGTCATTACAAAGATACAATAGGGAAAGTCTTTTGGCAGAATTGTGTTGAGGCTTCAAGATAAACTTGGACCATAACTCAGCAGACTCCTTGCAATGCCTATGATGGAATAAAACCCACTGTGATATAGTCACAATCGAATCCTGTGTTTCTTGTAATGAAGCTAGCTTTTTATTATATATATCTGCGGAAAATGACATTATAAAACCTTTTCTTTCACTCTCAACTCCTTATTTTTTATTTCACTTAACACTAGTAGATTCAACTTCCTATCTTACTCAATTAAACGCTAAAGTACCAATAAAAGATTCGATGAGTTCGATTAATTCAGTTTTGTAGATTTTCGTTTTTGCCTTTTTCCTCTGCTTTTTTCACTTTCGGAATTTTTCAGGACTTGTAACCCGTACATCTCGTCCAACATCAACAAAAACTGAAACATCGACAGCAAAACAGTATACAAGTTTGGTCTTTTCGTTAACTTTGAATTGGAAACTTGCAAATATTGGCTAAGGAATGAGTGCTTTACACTTGATTCAGACTCTTCTTCCACTAGGGCCCGATGACGAGCCACCAATTGATCTGAAATCCACAGCTAAGCTAGAGAATTTTCAAGCTTATGTTGAGAGTCTGAAATCAAACTCACAGAGTCTACCTCATTCATTAGAACAAGTTAGGATTGAGGCACTACTGGCATCAAGCTTGGAGGGTTCTTATATCAATTCTTTAACAATTACTGATATCAACAAGCTTATAAATAAATTCGAAAATTATCAAAGTGGAATCAAAGTGTTTAGGGGCCGTCTTGAGCCAATTGAATCAATATTGGAAGATTTCAATCAAGAGTTGAAAGATCTATCATCTAGTCTTACCTCACTACAAGAGCAATCATCCAGTTTGACGTCGGACCTAAACTTACAAAGAGGCTTGAGTGAAAAGCTAAATCCAATAATTTTAGACTTGATGATTCCTCCTGATGTTGTCAAATCAATAATGAATGATCCAATTGATATTAAATGGATCGAAAATATAAGATTTATAAATGAAAAACTACAGGTTATAGCAACTACAAAGTCATCTGAAGAAGGCCAATTATTATATTCTTATAGGGGATCTAAAGCAGCTACGCAATTAGAATCTGGAATTCAGTTGCTTATAGCAAAATCAGTAGAAAGGATACGAGACTTTATTATAACTCAAATTAAACTACTCCGATCATCTTCGACTATCTCATCACAAAAGATCCAAAAGAAATTATTAGATGTTAAAGAAGCATACTTATTTTTAAAAACGCATCAAAGCGAATTGGCCAGTCAATTACAGCTTGCATACATCTACACCATGAGGTGGTATTACCATGTCAGATTTGCCAAATACTTGTATGCTTTAGAAAAGCTCCATGTAAGAAATATTGATGGTTCTTATGTTATAGGGCATGATACTGGGGAAGATAAACTAGGTGCACTTAGTGGTGGGTTCAAAAGCTGGCTATCAAGTTCTAATCAACCGACATCTCCAAAACTCCATCAAATGCAACAAATGCAACAATCCAAGGTGGTTACCTTAACTGAATACCTCCAATCTATTGATAAGCGTCTTGAAATTTTGAATAAGAGAACGGATTACACTTCTGCAATTCCTTCACAAATAGCTGAAACCACGCCTTTTAATTACTGGCTCGAGTTTCTTTATAATCAATGGTCAATTGCCCTTGTAGACAATGTTGTTGTTGAATATTTATTCATGGTTGAATTTTTTTATCAAGGTGTTGAAAAATTTGAAAAAGTGGAAGCTCTAGGAACAGTAACTGAGGGCGAATTGAATAGTAATTCACATAAATCTGACTGGTCTGGTGTTATGTTTGAGAATGTATATAAATTGGGGTATGATTTTGTTACATGGTTGATCAGTCATCAAACACAATCTGTTGGTTTGAGGTCAAATAGTAGAGTTATTCCTTCTACTTCATTATCTACTAATTCCACATGTGATGCATATGCAATTCTTTTAATTATAAGGTTGATTCAAGCTACACAATCTAGTTTACACAACGAGTTTCATATCCCAATATTGGATGATCATTTAAACTCTTTGCTTATGACATTATGGCCCCAATTCACCAAAATCATTGATTTGAATTGTGATTCTATGAAAAAGATTATAATGAGATCTTTTTCTTCTAAATCAAAAGACCGTCATCTTGCACCAGTCAGTGTAACCCAACACTTTGCTCAATTTTTACTGGGTCTACTTAAACTAGCGTTCAACCCAGCTAATGACAAAAACAAAGAGCAAATTAGAGGTGAGCCTTTATTCATATCTATTGAAAGATTGAGAAATGATTTTGAAGGTGTGCTCACTAAATTAAGTAGTCATCTTTTTGGTAACACCTCCCAATCAACTCAAAAGGAGATATTTTTGTTCAATAATTACTTTTTAATTGTTAGTATTCTCAAAAATGAAAATGGATCAGGTTTGGAATCCAATGATTTCATCGATGAACAGATCAGTCACTTTGAAATGCTTTGCAAAGCTTATGAAACAAAATAGATATTCAAATGATTTTTTACGAAATTTACATAATTTTAATTTTCTCTTAACCTCTAGCTTATATTTTCAATAATGGATTATAGACAAAACCCTTTTAGAATTATATATCACAAAGTTTAGCAAGTAGCCCACATAATTGAAGATAAGAACCGACACCCTCTAATACTCTCATATGGACGAAACCTATTTGTTTGAGCAATTCTAGTCTCTTTTGTTCATTGACCCCCGTTATGGTTTTGGCAACTTTGAATGTCAGGGTAACTATATCAATTGCAGAATAACCTTTATTCCATAAACTGTCTAAATAATCAATGGCTTCATCGATGTTTCCTCCAGGTTGGGAAATGCATGCTGTAAGGATTTTCTTTATAACCAATGGATGGGGTTGATCAACAATTTTGAAAACGTTTATATCGTTAACAAACCCAAACCCTGCAACTGTACTCTGTAGGTTATTGATAGCTTGTCTCATATCACCTTCTGCAGTAAAAATCAAAGCCTTCAATCCTTCAGAGTCATACTTAACGTCTTCGAACTTGGCGATTTCCAACAAACGACTTAAAACTTGATCATCTGCTAACTTGTTGTATCTTAAAATAGCACAACGCGATTGTAAAGGTTCAATGATTTTACTGGATTCATTACAAGCAAAGGCAAATCTAGTGGTATTTGAGTATATTTCCATAGTTCTTCTTAATGCTTGTTGGGCACCTTGTGTCATTGAGTCTGCCTCATCCAAAATGATTATTTTATGTCTTCCAGGGGGTAATTGAATCTTAGTTTGTGCAAATTGCTTAATCTTATTACGGACAACATCGATACCTCGATCGTCCGATGCATTCAACTCAAGAGTAGCTTGGCTATAAAACTTATCTCCAAGTAGTTCATGGGCAAGACAGTGTATCGATGTGGTTTTACCAATACCTGGAAACCCTGATATGATCATATGGGGCATATTACCATCTTCTGCTATCAATTTCAACCTTTCAATGGTTTCTTCATTGCCAACGATATCGTTCAATACGTGAGGACGGTACTTTTCCACCCAAGGCAACTCAAGGTTAGTGGAAAAAGTTTTGGTCATTTCGATTGGATACTGCTTTATAGTACTAATATGTTTGTATCCTCTGGATACTGAAGTAAAGTTGATTCCATCAAAACTGAATTTTTCAGAGTTTTTTTTTTTTTTGTAGGACGCGTCTACAAATTGACTTTAATGATATGTACGGGTTAATCTATAATCTATTTTGACTTAGAGCTACTATTCATTTGGCTATCCTTTTCTTTATTGTCCTTCTTATTCTTTTTCGATGCTATTGGGGCAGAGGTGGCTAAAACCTTCAAGGCTGGTTTGTGGAACAATGGCCGAAGATTTTCAGGATTGTCAAAGAGGCTTTCTAACCAAGGAACTTTTACGTCAGTTATGTTGGACTCGATCATATTGTACAAAGATCCAGCTTCCTTTACATTTTTTGTCATACCTATTATAGAAGTACTCGGTATCTTAAGGGAATCTGATAGCCTATTCATTGCACCTTTTGGTAACTCAACCAATTTCACACGGTCCTCTGCTGACTTGGAAGCAGTGAAGGCTAGAGTAGGAAATGATTGTATAAGAAGGGGTGGACGAATATCTGATTTGGCAACAAACACATATTTAATATAAGCCTTTTTGGTGGTATTATCTGATTCTTTGTGCTTTTTGGTGTTTTTAAGCTTCATCCTGTGTACTGATGCCTGTTCTTCTAGTGCTTTGACTGTAGAATTGAACCCAATGGTCATCTCGGAGGCTATTGACGGTTGGTCAGGGAGTAATCCCCTATCTTTGTCTATCGATTTACTTTTCGACTCTTTTAATGCCTCGTTAAACCTTCCGAGGGGAGAGAGATGCAGACATAGAAGCTGTTCTATATTAGTTGCATCTTGCGGTCTGACTTCTGGCCAGAGGTTCGACTGTGTATATGGATTGTCAAGTATAGGTTTGAAGACCTGGCGTCTCTTTTGAGCTGCCTCCTTTAACGAGCCTTTAGAAGGGCCTCCTTTTTCTTTCGGGTTATCTGATTTCTCTGTACTCATGGCCGTCTAATTAATATGAAGTGAGGTTTGTAAGATTGTGAATTTTCGATGATCTTCAAAAGCGCACAGGAAAAAAAAATTGATAGAACTTCAAATTTTCAGATCCAAACGATAATGAAGGCTACGTTACAAGTAAAAATTTTATATGGTTTTTATTTAAAAAGTGGCACCCATTCTATAGAACATTTGGCAACAAATAGACGGTTTCCTGATTGAAGTGTATAAAATAAAATACAATTTTTTAAAAAGAAAGAAAAAATATTATAAGAATCGAAAAACAATCACTTATCCTCTTTTTTCTCATTTGATTCAGGAGAGTACAGAGGAGATTTAGGAGCATAAGACGGCGAGGTTGGAGAATAGCTTGGTGAAGTTGGTGAATATTGAGGTGAAGTTGGTGAATATGATGGGGAGGTTGGTGAATATGATGGGGAGGTTGGCGAATACTGTGGTGAAGTTGGTGAGTATGATGGTGAAGTTGGTGAGTATGATGGTGAAGTTGGTGAATAGCTTGGGGAGGTTGGTGAATAGCTTGGGGAGGTTGGTGAATAACTTGGTGAGGTTGGTGAGTATGATGGAGATGTAGGGGAATAACTTGGTGAGGTAGGTGAGTATGATGGTGAGGTTGGGGAATAACTTGGCGAAGTTGGTGAATAACTTGGTGAAGTTGGTGAGTATGATGGGGAAGTTGGTGAATAACTTGGTGAAGTTGGTGAGTATGATGGGGAAGTTGGTGAGTATGATGGGGAAGTTGGTGAGTATGATGGGGAAGTTGGTGAATAACTTGGTGAGGTTGGTGAGTATGATGGTGATGTAGGGGAGTATGATGGTGAAGTTGGTGAATAGGTTGGGGAAGTAGGGGAATAACTTGGAGAAGTAGGAGAATAAGTAGGAGAGGCACCACCATAAGTTGGAGAAGAAACACCATAAGAGAATGGCGACGTTGGAGAAGGAGAAGTTGGTTGACCACCGTAGGATGTAAGAGATCCTGATCCATCTGAAATTGAAGCAGTATGGATTGGTGAGAATCCAGCACCTTCTTCGAATTGAATATTATCATCTTCCATTTCATATTCTCTGTATGGAGTTGCTCCACCATCATCATAAGCACCAGCTTCGGCAGCATCAGATGCAACAGCAACATTAGAGCTAGCCAGTTGTAACATCTTATCATCAACCATTACATCGAAAGCACCAGTACCCAATGGAGCCATTTGACCCAACATCACATTCTCAGAAATACCACGACAATCATCAAGTTCTGCAGCTGCAGCTGCATCTAATAAGATTTCAACGGTTTCTTCGAAAGAACAACGCATCAAAGCACCAGTATCAGCTCTGTTAATACCATGACGAGTAATAGCCATTAAGTGACCACGAGATGTCATAACATCGACTAACAAGGCCATATGACGGTAGTTAACATAAGAACCATCAAAAGCAATAACATTAAGAATTTCTTTGAACAAAGCGTAACGAGTAGCTTCAATACCCAAAACTGAAAGAATTTCAATAAAATTGTTAGAGTATGTACGTGTAGCATCAACACCATTAACAGCCATAACATCTGCCAAATTTACACCATCAGTTTCTAAGACCCATTCTTGACCTTGTTTAAATTCACCATCTGGACCAGGGGCACTGATTTTATGTTGCATCATGAAAACCCTGGTAATACCCGGAATACCACGTAAGGAAATAGTTTCCAACATGTGAGCTTCGACACGTTTCAAAATTTGATCTTCTTCGTGGTCTCCTTCTTCTTCTAATTTAGGATCACGGATAACACGACAACGAATAATCAATTTATCAGCAGTATCATCAGACCAGATAACGAACAAATCTTCACCAAAGTTTTGAGAAATTTTTTCAGCAACTTGTGCCATAGTTAACTGTTTATCCAACATTTTAGCACGATCTAATTCAAGACGAAGTAACCATGGAGATTGATTTTCAATAGTTTCTTCAACCTTTTCATCTGGAATAGCGAAATATGCTTCAACAGTATCATAATCTTCTTCAATAACAGTACTTCTTGGATCAGGATCGTAAAAGATTTCAGTTGCTGAAGTAACATTCTTCAAGGTAGTATGTTCAATGGCTGATTGAACAACCTTAGCTTTTTCTATATCACCTGCAATTTCTGGATCTAAGTAAACTGTAAGAGCTGGAGTTTTGATATTTTTAGCAACGTTAAGAATTTCTTTAAGACGAGGAACACCCAAAGTAACATTCTTGGAAGAGACACCCGCATAATGGAAAGTATTCAAAGTCATTTGAGTAGCAGGTTCACCAATTGATTGGGCAGCGATAACACCAACCATTTCACCAGGATGAACAATAGATTTTTGGAACTGAGTTTCAATTTCACCTAAAACCCATTCGAAAGATATTCTACTCAATTTGAATTCTTCAATAACACGACGAGATGCTAATCTAGAACGTAATAAACATTGGAATAAAAGAGTGGCATTTTCTTGAGCTTCTTTAACCAATTCAGATTTACCACGAATAACAAGAAGTTTAGTACAAAGGTCCTTAACACTTTCAACGATTTCATCCAAGCGTAAATCAGAAGCCTTATGACGACCATTATGGAAAATTTGTTGAGCATTTTGAATAATACGACGTAAATTGACAGGTAATGGCCAATTATAATCACCATTGGTGAAACAAACTTCACGAAGGTAGCGACGATCATCTTGTAATTGTCTATATTCATCATCCAAAACTTTTTGCAATTTAACATCACCTTTGATTTGTTTACCAGATTCCAATAATGATTCAGCAATAGATCTAGATGGATCCAAAACATCAATACGATAACGTTTTTCAAAACTTTCATCGGATCCAGGAATGGTATCAACCGATTGTTTTTCAACTTGAGTACCATCAATACCATCTTCCCCATAGACGAATTGAATGATATCACCCAAAGAATTTCTAGTTGTACCATCATAATGGACCATAATATCTTCCAAAGCCTTAACCAAACGACGTTGAATATAACCAGTTTCTGCAGTTTTAACTGCAGTATCGATAAGACCTTCTCTACCAGCCATAGCATGGAAAAAGAATTCTTGTGGAGTCAAACCTCTTAAGTATGAATTTTCAACAAAACCTTTTGATTCTGGAGAATAATCATCCTTAGTAAAATGAGGTAATGAACGATCAGCAAAACCGAAAGGAATACGCTTACCTTCAACAATTTGTTGACCAACACAAGCAGACATTTGAGAAATATTAATAAAAGAACCTTTAGAACCAGAAGTAACCATCTGTTTAACATTATTCAAATCTTTTAAATTCATTTCTGCTGAACGACCAGCAGTATCACGAGCTTGATTCAAAACACGAGAGACATTATGTTCGAAAGATTCACGTAAAGTCATACCTGGTTCTGGGTCTAATTTATTACTTTGAGCATCCAAAATAATTTCTTGGACTTTATCTTTGGCTTCTTGAATAGTAGTAGTGACAGTTCTCATAGTTTCAGAATCAGCGATAGTATCACCAATACCAATAGAAAACCCATTATGTAATAACCAAAAGTTAACAACTTTTTGGATGGCACTAAATAATTGAGCACAAACTTGAGAACCCTTTTCTCTCATAACTGTATGAATTAAACCACCACCGGTAGCACCGACGGTTTTTTTATCAACTACACCAAACATAATTTCACCATCAACAATTAACATACCATTATCTTTCGGACTTAAAAGGTTCTTACCATCATCAAATCTTTGCAAATGAATACCTTTTGGAATTGCCATGGATAAAAGTTGTTTACCTGACCACAAAGGCTTTGGTTTAACAATTGCTGGAGGTGGAATTACACCATCCCAATTTGGAATCCAATATAACATATTCATCACTTGATCATATTCAATAAAACTATCACGCAAAGTCATCTTACGAATACCACATAAAGTATCTTGAACAATACCCATAACTGGTTTATTTGACTGGGCGGAAACAATTTGTAGTGGGACGGCACAGATTTGAGATAATTCAGCTCTAGTTTCTGGAGATTGTGGAACATGTAAATTCATTTCATCACCATCGAAATCGGCATTATAAGGAGAAGTAACTGATAAATTCAATCTGAAAGTGGAATATGGCATGACTTTAACTCTATGGGCCATCATAGACATTTTATGTAAAGAAGGTTGACGATTGAATAAAACTGGATCATCGTCCATTAAATGACGTTCAACTTTCCAACCATATTGTAGAGCAATATCACCAGCTCTTTTATTATATCTCAAATCAATACGATCACCAGTATCTCTTATAACATATTTAGCACCAGGATGCTCATTTGGACCATTACGGACATACTCAGTTAATTTATGAATATTATAAGGAGTAACAATTTCAGGATAAGATAAAGTTCTTGCAATAGAGATTGGAACACCAACTTGATCTAAATCAAGATTTGGGTCACCCGAAATAACCGTACGAGCTGAAAAATCGACACGCTTACCCATAAGATTACCTCTTAATCTACCTTCTTTACCCTTCAATCTAGCTCTGATAGATTTAATTGGACGACCAGTTTTTTGAAGAGCTTGAGGTTGACCTGCAATATCGTTATCCATATATGTTGCCACATGGAATTGTAATAAAGCTTCGAATTCACTAATAACATGTTGAGGAGAACCATCCATTTCTAATCTTTGTACATTAATATTTGCTTTTATAACATCCGCCAATTTGAAAGTTAAATCATCTTCACCTCTGGCAGTATCATTGAAAGCAATTGAAGGTCTAACTGGAGGTGGAGGAACCGGTAAAACTGTTATTAACATCCATTCGGGTCTAGCATAATCTTCATTAAAACCTAACTTGAAACAATCTTCTGAACTTATATGTTTGAAAACACTTAAAATTTCTGCAGGAGTTAATAAACGACGCTCTGGTTGTTCATTTTCTTCAAAATTTTTATTTTGTTTCCAGGTACCCCATAATTTTAAACCATCTCTACGAACAGTAGGTTGGGTGTGACCACATCCACCTCTTCCGGTTGGTTCTATACCTTTTTGTTGATCTTCCTCACTAACTGTATCGGCTTCACAAATCATTTTAGTTTTACAAACATTCCAAACGGCATTAAATCTTTTTTTAGGATCTCTTATTTTGATGGCTTGAGCCATTAAAGGATTTGTTTCATCGAGTAAAAGTTTACCACAGTGCATACAAATACATTCACAAACTTTTTTAATTTTAGCAATGAAACCGATATGGAAAACTGGTTTAGCCAATTCAATATGACCAAAATGACCAGGACATTCAGCCATATCTTCACTACAAGTTTGACATTTGAAGTTACGGTCAATAGAACCTAATCTAGGGTCATTTAAACCACCATCCCTTGGTTTTTTAGTTGTTTGATCCATTGTTTCAGGATATTCAATCTTAGCGACTGAAATGGCACGAACTTCTTCTGGAGACAAAAGCCCAAATTGAACCTAGTATGATTAGTTAGTATTCATGTTTTTGTAAAAAAGAAGAAAAAAGCTATACTTACTTCTTTAACTGCACGAAGTGGTGCACTTGAATATGGAAATTGACGACTCATGATTAATAATATATAATACTGTTAATAAATAACACGGAGGAAATTGATATGTATATGGATTAATAACCTCTTTTAAGAAATGAAACGTTTAAATATAAATACAAGGGGATTTTTTTTATTTTGGATGAATTTTGTTTTTTATGAAAAAAAATTTGTTGTTTTTTTTTTAAGGATTTTTATTTGCTTTAGGACTATTAAAGTTTATAGAAAGGAAAAACTTTCAATGATTTCGAGCACGAAAGGAACCACGAATGAGCTAGAAAGCTTTTCTAAGATGGATTATTAGTTTCTGTTTGAAAGTTTTTCGTTAATTTCAAGTTTTTTTTTGTTTTTTTTTTCAAATTGAAAATCAGAAAAAAAATCAATCAGATTATCTAATCTCTATAGTTCTGGGTTATCCGAGGCGGTCAAATAAATGAGTACCTTGCTTTTATCTATCAGGAAGCTTTATATGCAAAGCGGAGCTAATTATAGATGGTGATGATAAATCAAGTTGAAATTTTTCAAACTAGAATTGGATTAATAAAACGTCGAGATTTCTGAACTAAATAATCACAAACGAATACGTAACGTTGTTGGAAAATCTAGGATCTCGCTGATAGAGGATAGATGGATGGGGATGGGGATGGGTTGAACGGTTGTGGGGGAACGATATGTGTGTTGATTCAAAAAGTATTAAGTAGTAATTACTGGGTTTTAGGTGTTTTGATATTTCTCTTACGATTACAAACTTGAAAAAAAAATGTACTGAGCAAGCAGTGTTGGGCAACGCACGCCCGAGTGGCGTTAAAAAGTGCCACTATTTACTTCGCACGTGCGTATATCTGAGCACCAGGGAAACCCACCGAGATCTACATCCGTACACCAGATATCAAAGAATGGCTGCTAAAAATTCAGTTTTAATTAAAGAAACAGTATAAATGGAGCAGATTAGGTATTTAGTTTGGTTGGCGGGTTGTCCAAGTACTGCTGGGCTGCAGGAGCATCTATTTGGCAAGACTTAAACTTCCGTGCTGGCACGTTGTTGTTGAAGAGATAATCGATTTCGTAAAAGGTTCGATCTTTTGTTTCCGGTAAGTCAAAGTAGGACCAAGTGAAGGCCAAAAGGGCAAACCCGCCCCAGAAAAAGCCCAGTTTGGCACCCCAATTCCATGCAGATGGGTTGAGCATGTAAGGGTTGATTAAAGAAGTGAAGATACCGGCAATGTTATAAGTGTTTCTGGCAATGATGATTGTTTTCACCCGAAGCACCGTACTGGGGATTTCGGCAACAATGGTGTAGGTGAGAGGCCCAATCGAAGTATTGTAGCAGTACGTATATACCAAAAGCAACGAGCCGATTGCCCATGGAGCATTTTCATTTGAAGAGCAGGCAATTCCACCTATAGTCATGAGTAGTAAGAATAGGAACACCAATCCATACGAGTAAATTTGGAACCTACCGTACCTCTGGGATACCACCCAGCTGGTCAAGGTACCCAAGATCCCTAGAATGTACTGGATGATAGAAAACGTGTATGCATTATCGGTCGAAAGACCGGCTTGGATGTAGAAGTAACTAGAGTAGCCAATTAGGGCCGACCCAGAAAGGTTTTGAAACATCCAAGTACAAGCGGATATTCTAGTTCTCCTCGAGTTTGGACCTCTAAAACAGTCTACATAAGTGTCGTTTGCCGACGCTTCTTCTTCCTTTAAAGTCATTTGAATTTTTTTCACCATTGCATCAGCAAGATGCCGCTTGTGGCTTTCTTGAATAGAAATCAATCGAAGTAGCGACTTTTCAGCTTCCTCCAACCGGCCGTTTTTAACTAGCCACCAAGGGCTCTCCGGACAAAATAGCACGGCAACAAAGATCGGGACCGGCCAGACCCACTGGATGGCAAATGGCACCTTGAAACTTAGCTCAGAGTCTCCGTTGACAAACCCACGCAACACTCCGCTCAGAATCAACTGGCCAATGGTCCAGCATACATTTATCCAACTGGTCAAGTACACCCGAAGCACCATGGGACAGAACTCCACCGCCAAAGCGGTGGAAATGGCCTGGAACGTCCCCAACGGGAACCCCAAAAGAATCATCGATACCAAGAGCATCTGGATGGAAACCGCAAAAAAAAGAACGAATATAAACCCAACCAACACCACCAACGCCGCCAACATCACCTTCTTGTTGCCCCATTTCCCTATAAGCCACCCGCTCACACTCAACCCAAGTAGCGTTCCCACATTGATGGCCATATTGATCGACGTCTGCCATTTAGCAGGAATCTCGTACCTCAGGGAAGCTTCATAATACTCGCCGTACTTTTTGGCAAACGCCGGGAACCCATAAAGCGAGTTCATCAAATTGGTATCGTACCCTTCCATCATTATAGCGCTGGACACCACCAAAGACCACATCACCGCCTTGGGGAACATGCTCAACCCTTGTTTCAAAGACATACATTTCTCGTCCCGTTCATTTCTCCTGGCGGAATCGAGAAACTGGCAAACATACTCACTGACGTTATCCCCCAACGACTTCTCATCCGGTGCAATGCCCACAAAAGCCTCGCGGTCCTCCACATGTACCACACCCATCGCTTGCTTCTAAAGAGCCAAGTTGTTGATAATCTGGTGCTCAGCTCGTAAAATCATCGGAATATCCCCTTAGTCCCCGCGAGGTGAAGAAACAAAGAGATTTCATTGAATTTTGCGAGCATTGGAGCATTTGCGAGCATTGGCTCGAGCATTGGAAAATGTGGGGGGAGATTTAATCCCCTGAGAGCTTTGGCTGAAAAATTGTATATAAAGACCGGGGTTGGACGAGTAAGTAAGTTTAAATGGCCAAACAAACAAGTATTAACAATGACAGTAGAACAGAAATGGTGGAAAGACGCTTCAATTTATCAAATTTGGCCCGCTTCGTATAAGGATTCGAACGGAGATGGGGTAGGGGATATTCCTGGGATCATATCTAGCTTGGATTACGTGAAATCATTGGGGGTTGATGTTATTTGGTTGTCGCCAATGTATGATTCGCCCCAGGACGATATGGGTTACGATATCAGTGATTATGAGAAGGTTTATCCAAAGTACGGGACTTTGAAAGATATGGATGAATTGATTAGCCAAGTGCATAAGAGAGGGATGCGGTTGATTTTGGATTTGGTTATTAATCATACTTCTTCGGAACACCAGTGGTTTCAGGAGTCGAGATCTTCTAAAACCAACCCCAAGAGAAACTGGTACATTTGGAAACCTCCAAGATACGATGAGCACGGTAATAGACATCCTCCTAACAACTGGGGGTCCTATTTTTCCGGGAGTGCTTGGACTTATGATGAATTAACTGATGAATACTACTTACATCTTTTCGCTGAGAGACAACCGGATTTGAATTGGGAACTGGAAGAAACCAGAAAAGAAATCTATAGATCAGCAGTTAGTTTTTGGTTTGAAAAGGGAATTGATGGTTTCAGAATCGATACTGCTGGAATGTACTCCAAGGTTCAGACTTTCCCAGATGCTCCGATTGTGTTCCCCGATACTGAATGGCAGCCATGTAAAGAATTCCATCAAAGTGGACCAAGGATCCATGAATTCCATCGTGAATTGTACGATCAGGTTTTCTCCAAGTATGACGCCATGTCCGTGGGTGAGGTTGGTCATTCTACCCGGGAAGACGCTTTGAAATACGTTGGTGCCCATCGTAAAGAGATGAATATGATGTTTTTATTTGATATGGTGGAAGTGGGTGCCGATCCCGCTGATAGATTTAGATATAAAGGTTTTGACCTAACTGATTTTAAAAAAGTGGTCAAATCCCAATGTGAATTCACGGAGGGTACTGATGCTTGGTCCACTGTTTTCAATGAAAACCATGACCAACCTAGATCAATTACTCGTTTTGCCAATGATTCTCCTAAAACCAGAGTAAAATCAGGTAAATTATTAACTTTACTTCAAACTTCTTTAACTGGTACTTTATTCATCTATCAAGGTCAAGAAATTGGTATGACCAATATCCCAAGATCCTGGTCCATCGATGATTATTTGGATATAAACTCTATCAATTACTATAAACAATTTAAGGAAAAATATGGTGATGATAAAGAAAAATTAGAAAAATTAATGGATAGCATTAATTTATTAGCTAGAGATAATGCCAGAACCCCAGTTCAATGGGATTCATCCGATAACGCTGGTTTTACCACCGGTACTCCTTGGATGAAAGTTAACGATAATTATAAAGAAATTAACGTTGCTGCTCAAGTTAATGATCCAAATTCGTTATTTTCATTCTGGCAAAAATCTTTGGCTCTTAGAAGAAAGTATAAAGAGCTTTTTGTTTATGGTTCATTTGAAATTTTGGACTTTGCAAATAAGAAAACTTTTACTTTCCTTAAGAAAAATGGTGATCAAAAGGCTTATATTGTCTTAAACTTTGCTAATGAATCAATTAAATTCGAAAAATTAGTAGACGAAGAATTAAAATTGATTAACTCCAATGTTGATCAGGTCGATGAAACTACTTTGACTCCTTATGAAGGAAGAGTCTACTTAGTTAACTAAATAAGTTTTCATTATGTGTAAAATATATAAAAATACATAAAAAGTCAAATACATAATAACATTTTCATAATAATAAATTATCAATATTTGAAAGAATGCAATTTTGTTAAAATAAGTGAAAGGAAATCGATTTATTTAAAATTGAAATTTAATGGCCGAATGCAGATGAGTATGCTTGTGATACCATACTAGAAGGTCCGCCAATATATCCATCGTCTAATCCTTCAATTTGATCATTGAGCCAAAATCCAATCAAAACAACGCAATAACTTAAAATTAAAATAACACCTTTGAAGTAATTGGATTTACCTTCAGCATAAACATAAGTAAATAAATAAATTGCAATTAACGTAGCAATGATATCCCATCTTGGGAAAACTAAAGAGAATATTTTCTCAACATCATCAAATCCTTTGAAAATAGAATAAACAACTAAACTAGGAATTTGTATTAAAACAACTTGTAATGCATAAGCACTACCAATTTCCATTGATAATGCTACATTACCACCAACAGCGAATGAAATAGCATTTAAAAATTCAGTGGTATTTGGAACTAAGGCAAAAACTGTCAAACCTAAAAATTTTGGATTGATCGCAAAATCAGCAAGAACAGAATCAACATTATCAACTAAAATTTCGGCAATGATAGCATACAATAAAGTGGCTCCAAGTAAAATGAAAGTAGATTTGGATCTTGACCAGTTAGGAGCATCGTGGCCCGTACCTGTTTCTTCATCCTCGTCGCCTTTAGCTTGAACAATACTGGCTTTTCTGTTCGATTCACCAGGTGCTTGAGGTTCATTAGGAGTGACAACCCTGGACTGTTCACGTTTTGGATTACGAAGTTTGACCACTTCAGCTGTTGGCGAATTTAAAGCTGTTACATTTTTAGAACTTTGATTAGAAGCAACCCTCTGTTGAGAAGGACCTTCTACGCCCGAAGAGTAAGAAGCTGATGGCGGCAAGTTTGATAATTTAGAGGGCATTTTGCCTAACTTATGCAGCGATGATGGACCATCCAAGCTTATAACACTTGGGGATCTCATATAGTTCTCTTGCTTCTTTTCCATGGCTGCTTGTTCATGAGAATTAGTGGCCCAAATTAAAGATGCATGAGTCCTCAATGTGAAGAATAAACCACATACGTATGCTAAAAACAAAGCACAAGCAACAATAACAGAAAATGGTTTTACCATGGAATAATATAATCTGTCTAAAGTAAAGGAAGGTTGGATAAAACGGCATTTAACACAATCGTCACCACTTGATCCATTACCTGGATATGCAACATCAAAAACACACTTTTTACATTTAATTTCATAGGGTCCATATAATTGATAGAAAAATGAAGGTGCAAACATAATGACCATTGCAAACAACAACATTGTGGAAGAGACACCAGCAGAACGAGGATTATATCTCTGGGTCTTCCTTTTCAATGCACCACCACACATGGATAAACCTGGTAATAAAAGAACACCACCTAATATGGACCCAATCATAGAACCTTCTACCAACTTACCCTTAGCTTGGTTAAGTGCAACACAGTATAAAAAGATCTCGACAATTGTGGAGAAGAAAGCATTTATTACGGCACCGACACCCATCGATGATTGGGCAGAAATCGAAGCCACCGCCTGCCCAATGAAGTAGGCCAACGGAATAATCGAGAACAAACAAGCACAGAAAAGAAAACTGGAGTCAGTGTACCAGCTATCCCATCCTAATCTTTCCTTAAGGACGTAGTAATCAAAAATCACAAAGACCACAGCAGCTAATAAATTGATGAAAAAAATGTTTGTACCGTCAATAGTATATTTATAGTAATGGAAACCACAACACCTGTAAGTACATAAAATGATTGATTGATTTTTATATTTCTTCAGCAAATTTTCATCGTTTATTTTATCGTAGTATCTTTTTTCAAGTTCAAAATGAAGTGCTAAAGGATGACGTCTTAAGTGATCGCAAATAGTGTTTGTAATATTTGCCATTGGAATGGTAAACACGAATAACCAACAGAATACACCTATAAGAAATAAAATTGGTTGTAAGACTCCGTAAAAAAATAGGTAAAAAACAAGACGACCTGAAGACCAGCGTCCTCTTCCGAAAAATCTGACCTTGATATCATTATTATTAGCACCATAATCTTCGTCGTCTTCGAAAACCTCTTCATCTTCAACTTCATCAATTGTATCTTCATTATTGGATCTAGAATTTTCAAATGCATTATTCGATCTTTGATTTGAAGTTCCTCCTAAGGATGAATAAGCATCTCTAAGAGGTCTACCTTTATGATCTTTCAACAATGGACGAGATTCATCTGTTGCACCACTGGTGTACCTTCTAGGAGGAGCAAAAAATAATCTACCTTCTTCTTGTAATCTCCACCTTTCGAATTCTGAAATTGATCTACCATCAAGTTCATCTTCGTCTAAGTAGTTTTTATCTTTATTCAATAACACGAATTTACCAAAGGGAAAAAACCAATATCTACCAAGCTTGAGTAGTAACTTAACATAAGCTCTCAGATGATGAGAGTAAGCGAAAGCAGAGAATAAGAATACTAATAAAGCACCAATTGAGCAAATAACAAAAAGCAGAAGACCAATGGTACAAGACCAAATTATATTAGTTAACCAAACACCCCAGAAAATATTTTGGGTTGTTTTCTGAGGATCAAAATCATGAATATCTTCTTGAGCTCTAGTAGCAACTGATCTATTCTTTTTATATAATGAAGGTTTCCAAATTTTTATACCAAAGGGGTGAGTAGAGTTAATTGCGTCTTGACGTTCTCGTAAATTCAAAGATTCTATAGTATCACTTGAAGAAGATGAAGATACGGAGTGAGTATCAATATTGTCATCTTCATCATCAGGTGCTTCTTCTTCTATATTTTCGTCATCTTCGTCATTAGGTTCTTCGACAATTGGTATTTCCAGTTCAGTTTTCTTAGGATCTAGTCTACGTATATTCTCTTCAGCAGTAATGAGATTAGAGAGGATAGCCGATTCCAATTCTTTATTATTAGAATCATTGACAGAACCGCTCTTTTGTTTTCTTATGTGATGCTGAGGATATGATGAGTTCTGATTTTGTTGAGATTTGACAGGAGGGAAATCTTCATATTTAGAAGCATCGGGAAAGTATCCATTTTGGTTACTTGGAGAAGCATCATTAACATTAGAGGAAGGTGCAGTATTGGAATTTGGGTTATATTGGCCATTTGGAGTATGTCCTTTGGATTTTTTTTGGAAGAAAGCCTTCAATGCATCACTATAGCCTTCCAAGTATTCCCGATCGATTTTAGGTTTACCTTCCTCGGTTTGGTTACCCACGTCCTCGATATCATCACCGATATCATCATCAACAGAAAAGATTAACTTTGTATGACCACTAGCACTGGGCTTTAAATGAGGTCTGGACTTTAGTTTCTTCAATTTGTTAGGTCCTCTCGTACGTCCACCTGGAGAAGTAATATTTGATACACTATTCGATCTAGAATTTTTCAAATTGGATCCACCAGGAGTGGAAGGAACACTGTTAGAGCCGCTATTAACCGGGTTGAGTTTTGGATTATTAGACTCGGTTTGATTGTCATCATTCAGAGCTACTCTGGGAGATTGTTGTTGTTGCTGCTGCTGCTGCTGCTGTTGCTGCTGTTGCTGGTTTTGTTTTTTCCCACTAGTGGACCTATTTGATGCGGAGCTCCCACCTGGGGGGGTTTCACGAGGTCCGGCCATTTAACAAGAGACTCTAAGATCAAATCACTAAAGAAACTAACTTATTTGAAAGAAGAACTGGACAATTGACTTACCAACTATTATTGGGTAGTAAATCGCTTGGAAAGTGGAATTTGAATAATTGAATTAAACTTACAATGAGATAATGGTTCAAACGGATAATCTGTTCCCGGTTACTGGTGATTGAGTTGGATTTGCAACAAAGTTCAAGCTCTGTACGTCAATTATACCAATCTAACTCTGGCGATATCCTTTTATAAAATTGCTTTCAAATAAGCCATGAAAAGAGAAAAGGATTATAAATTATAATTAAAGCAGGAATCTCACTTCAAAGAGAATAATCTAGAGAGGAAAAAAAGGAAAATAAGAAAACAAAAAAAAAAAAAAACGGCACAATATCTTTGTTCAAGAAGTATATAATACAAAAGCTCTTCTCTATATTATCTAGTTGCAAATACGACGGGGAGCATCATTGGTAGAGAAGATCAATGATAATGTTTTTGGAGCGTGTTCCAAACATTACGGTGGTGTCATGCTTTGAAAGGGTTGCAAATGGGTGATTAGTAGCGAACAATTGGGTGCGTCTTTAGTTCGATAGCTGGTGGATGATGAGAGTTCAATTGTAGTAAGGGTCACCTGCTCAACAGACCTTAAACGAAGAGATCTTGTGAAGTTGACTATATCAATTAGTCACGTAAGAGTATGCTTGATTACAAGTATGGTAGGTGTGACGTAGTTAATTTTTATAAGCTATGATTAGAGAGAAGAAATCATTTAAATGCAAAATTGATGATGTTCAATCACCCAATCTACGGCCTTTCCCTTTGAAAGCAGGGTTTCCGCCACTAAACCAGGACGAGCCGGTGGATGAGCCCGAAGATTCATTGGAAGCAGCTGGTCCATTGGTATTAATGGGGGTCGATGAGCTAATATTGATTGTAGAGGCTCTTCCAGCTTGAGGGCGAGGGTAGAAAGCCGTTGTTCTCATTGAACTATTAATTGGGTAACTGAGTACTCCATATAACCAAACTGGGGCTTTCAAATGACCTTTATCGAAGATGGAATCACCAATAAAGTCATCGAATGAAGGAGAATGGTCACCTAAAGTAGCATTATCGGTATTATTTGATCTAAATTCCCCACCTGGGAATAAAGTTCCAACTCTTCTACCTCCAGGGTTTGTTTCACCACTGAGATACCTTGCGTAAGCACCTGGAAATAGGTTATAGATTGGCAAAGTATCCGATTGAATACATTGATATAAATAACCACCCCAAATACCCACAAGGGTATCCATAAAAGAAGGATAGCCATTTACAATCAATTTAAAGAAAAGATTGAAAAGAGGTAAGTAGTAAGCTTTAATTGGAACCAACCCTAAAAAGTTAATAATTGAATTCTTCAGCGAACGCGACCAAAGATAAGTAACACAAGATAACATCATCTGATGATGAACAAAGAAATGGGAAGAATCATAAAAAAACTGATAACTCAAGGTCAGAAGGACTATGATTGTTCCGGTTACTAAAGTAAACCATAAACAATCTGGGAAATTACCACGAAATTTACCTTCACGACTTTCCAAATGATTAGCAAAAGTGTAAAAAAAGTAAATATCCAATATTGCTTCAAAAGGTTTTGCCATTAAAATCCCCAATGGCAATAAGAAAGCACTGAAAAATCGGTGGCATTGAAATATAAGATACCCAATGGCATAAACTCGTTGACTTATAGACCCCTGCTTGAAAGTATTATTCACAAAGTCAACTTTTTCCAATAGTAGCTTCAAATCACATACCAATGCCGATGGCTGAATTACATTCAAAGAGGTGATTATACAGATAACCACCGTCGAAATGGTGAAAAACCTGGTCACAGGAGGAATGTTTCTGATTCTATTGGCCAAGCTGTTTTGATCTGGTCCCGGCATGTTCCTTTCTTCAAATTGAATCACTTATACTCAATGCCAATACGATGTTGTCGAATAGCTATGATGGTTTGGCCTACGTAGTATTGCTCGGTGGATTTTCTTTTTGTTTTGTTAGCGCACTCGAAAACGTAGTTTAATTTTATGTAAAGGAGAGAAAGAAGACCCTTTCAATGGCTGCAACTTCTGAAATTGGATCAGATGACCAAGCTATTGAATGAAAAAGGCCAAGACGGTGCTTCAATGGCTGGTCTGATAGTGGAAGAAGCTGGGGTTGAGTTTTCACCAAAGTGCCGACTGTTCTGCTCAATTTATGTAGTTTTCTACCGAAATTCATGTAAATTATCAAATGTCGGACTACATTTGCCATACCAATTTGATACGAGAGTGCTAGCTGATGTATATATGCCAATGAAGAACTGCAAATCAAGACAGTGCCATCTCAATGAAGAACTGCAATGACCATGTAATTCAAATCTAGAGCTACAATGCCAATGAAATTAGTTGAGCAACTCCAATGTTATTTGGGTATGTATTAAGACAAGCTTCAACCGTAAAGCCAAGCTCCCCAATCTAAACTGAAATAATGACTCCACAAGAATGCTCTATCTGCATCGAATGGAACGCTAAAGGGTCAAGCTAATCACTTAATACTGCTAGTGGGTTGGGGAGACAACACCCGTGCACCACATTACTCTTTTTTTCTTCGCTCAAATGAAGAAGACCTTCAAAAAGATATAAACAGTTACTCCAGCAGACATCTCCAGGAAACGAATAATACGGGTTAAGATGAAGTTGGTGAGGTTTTTAATGAACATGCCAAATGCAACCAACCAACCAGTGACGGTTGAGTTGAAAAATGGGAACTCTATCAATGGGCAAATTCTATCGTGCTCCCCACTGATGAACTTATCAATGAAAAACATTAAACTTATTCAACCCCATCAGGACCCTCAGCTACTCCAGTACATAAACATTAGAGGTAACCAGATCAGACAGATACTATTACCCGATGATTTGAATATAGAAAGTGTTTTGGCCAAAAGTGTGGTGAAAATAAAGGGCCATGGTGCTGGACCATCTTTGAAAAACCCTATATCCACCAGAGGTGGAAGAGGAGGCCGTGGTGGCGGAGGAGGCCGTGGTGGCCGTGGTGGCCGTGGTGGTCGTGGAGGAAGAGGAGGAAGAGGTGCAAGAGGATTTTGAAAGCGTTACCATATATAAAATTTGTACTTTTAGATTACGTATATATAGATATATACTAATAATAGCATACTAGTTTCTTTCTTTAAATCTTTATTAATATATGTACAAGGAGGTTATATAAGAAATACTAAAACCAGGTATTCTTTCTTTGTTCTTTCTTTTGAAGTTGTTTTTTGTATCTTGGTCTGGCAGCAATAATGGTTTGGTCCATATTTTCCAAAGCTTCCTTTCTTGCTTGAAGTTTCTCTGGTAATTTTCTTTCCCAAACTTGTTGTTTTTGTTTCAAAACACCCTTCATCCATTTTTTATTTTCATATTTATCTTCAAAGAAGCGTTTTTGAGGCAATGGTGGTAATAAATCTTGTATACCAAATTTGTATGCCATTTTGAATAAATCTGATGCTCTTCTTAAGGAATATTTGGCTTCTTGCCATCTACCACTATCTAAATTTTTATTTGGTAAGAATGGATTCATATTTGGGTCTTGGATGTTGGTTGGTTTTTCGGCATATTGTGCAAATGGTCTTGGTGGGTACTTTATGAAAAAGTTATGAAGCCTCTGAGGAAGCTTATTGAAAGCTTGTTTAGGTGTCAAGGACATGGTGGACCTGGTTTAAGTGAAGTCTGATTGACTGTTCTCTGATATTTCGATTTTAACGAGTGAAAAATTCTCACTGTTAATTTTTTTTTTTTTTTTTTTTTCTAAGTTCCTTCATTCTGCGTACAGGAACAGGTTGCAAAGATCTATCAACTACAATTGAACAGTTCATTTATAATATCTATTAAGTAATGAAAGGGTCTAAACTAAGGATCAGTCGAGGCGATTTTAACTAAGGATCAGCCGAGATGGTCCTGGGAAACCAAGAATTGAATGTTATACGAGTATAAGCAGGGAGATTGGTCTATTCAGGACCGTCGATAATACATTTAACAGCACCACCAGTTTTAACGAAATCATAGGCAGCAACAGCATCTTTAAACTTGTATCTGTGAGTGATTAAGGATTCGTAATCGACTGGAGCGTGCTCTTTACCGTTTTTATAATTTTCGTCCAAGATGGCAACTGCAGTTTTATAATCTTCAAAGCCATATCTGAAAGAACCGAATAAAGTTAATTCTTTAGTAGCAAATTCAGTAATTGGGAATTGGACATCGCCACCTGCGTTACCGATTTGAACCATACGACCACCAGCTTTCAAAATCTCAACTGCTAACTTGATACAAGGAGGAGCACCGGTACATTCAAGAACAACAGTTGGAACTTTACCATCAAAAGCTTTAATTAGACCAGAAGCACCACCACCGGTTTTAGAATTGAAGATGAAGTCGGCCACGCCGATTTTTTTAGCCAATTGCAATTTGTCATCAGCGATATCCACAATTAAAATTTCCGAAGCACCAAACAGTTTTGCTACACTTGCAGCCAATAAACCAACAGGACCAGCCCCAAAGACAACTACAATATCACGGAAACGAATACTGGCCAATTTAGCAGCATGGACCCCGACAGTTAAAGGCTCAACCAACGCACCCAATTCCAAAGAGACATGATCAGGTAATTTAACCAAGAAATCTTCGGGACTCTTAAAATACTTACCTAAAGTACCTGGAGGATTTGGTTCACCTTCAACCGAATTGGGGGTGGCAGCGAAAACCATATGAGGACATAAGTTATATTTACCCCCTTTGTATTCATCACTAAGTCTGGAAGGAACCCCAGGTTCAATAGCAACGCGATCGCCAACTTTAACAGAAGTGACTGCATCCCCAATTGAACTAACCACACCACTTGATTCATGACCTAAAACCATTGGCTTAGTCAAGACGAAATTCCCAATCTTACCATGAGTATAATAATGAATATCAGACCCGCAAATACCAGTTTTTTTAACCTCAACTATAACATCATGAGGATCAGTGATTTGGGGTACTTCCCAATCTTGGAAGGAAATATCGTTAATTTTATTCAACACTAAAGAAATATTTTTGGCAGTCATGTTAGCTGATTCTTTCGACACTTGAATGAATCGAATAAGAAGTAGATTATATATATATATATATAAGCAAACAATCCCTTGCTATTGAAAAAAAGTGGTGCAAAATTATAAAAAGATTCGATCGTTTTCTCCCCACGAAATCTCCCGACTTTTACCAACTTGTTAATGATTCCGCTCTACAAACACTACGGAGTAATAGCGTGGTTCATTAGGTGATACTTGATACTGGATACTTTATTCTTATAATTAATCTTCTCATACTTTGCATACTCATTACAATCTTTGCATTCGCATACTTTGCATTCGCATACTTACAAAATAGTATAATTGAACTTTTATTTATATGATTCTAGTTATTTTAATGATTTTTTTTTTTTAATAAGATTCGAATTGAATAATTTGCAACATGTTGTTTCGTAGTCATGACTTAAAAAGATCACTATCTTTTACAAAGGGGAGAAATAAAGCAGGAGAAACATAATAAGAAAAGGTTACAATTTTTTGAAATTTTTTCTTTTTTTCAAACTCTAGTGTAACATTAATATATTCATTTATCATAAATTTAATTATTGAATAATTTATTTAGCAACATGTTGTAAAGCTTCCAAAACTTCTAATTCAATATTAGCTTCAGCAACAACAGCTTCATCAGAAGAAGCAGCTCTCTTTTGAGCATCAGCAATTAAATCTTTAACGGATTGAGCATCAAATTGATCTGGTTTGAAAGCTTCAATGGCACTAATAGTCAATTTATTACCTGGTTGAACAGTAGCTAAACCACCACTAACAAAATATTGATCAGTTTCACCTCCTTTGGAAATGATTTCTAATAAACCTGGTCTCAATTGTTCAACAATTGGAATGTGATTAGCTAAGATACCCAAATCACCATTAATTGATGGTAAATTAACTTGTTCAACTTCTGATTCGGAGTATAAAGTTTGATGAGGTAAAGCCAAGGATAATTTTAAAGCTTCAGAAGCAGTGGCTGCTTCAGTAGCATAGGCTCTTCTAACAGCAGAGTTAGATTGTCTGGCAACTTGACGGAAGGTTTGTCTAAACATTGCTAATACTAAAGGATAGAGTATGAGTTAATGAAAAGTTGGTCAAACTGGGCTTTTCACTGGTTTTTTTTCCTCAGTCAGTCTACAATTTGTTTTTTCTCCCATACAAAAATGGTTCTTTGGTTCTCATACTAAACCGATTCCGATTTTCTCTCTAAAACACTGCGGTAAAGACACGTCCCCCTCGTTAAACTACGCATTTTCATTGGGCCGCGTGATTGATTAGGTAAGCGATGGGTCACGTGGATTAAACCCGTACATACCTTGCACTACTTGCACTACTATACTTATACTACTTATATCACTACTTATGTCACTACTTATACTACTACTTGTATTAATACTTATACTACTACTTGTATTAATACTTATCGTATAATATTACTATAAAAGTAGGTATACTGCACTACTTCATCTATATGATCATGACGTTTGCAGCAAGATTGTATTTGCAGTAATCAGTCCTTTTCAGTTGTTCCTTCAGTATCGGCGTCTGTAGTTGCCTGTTCATTTTTGGGACTCTTAGCTGTTTCATTTTTTTTAGCTACTTCATCCATTCCACCTTCAACATCTTCTAACCTTTTCAAAACAGCAGGAAAGTATGCATTTCTAAAAGAATAGTCTTTACTCAAAACCTCAAGCTCATTCAAGCTTGTACAGTTGGAAACCCTTTGAGCGTGATCAGTATACTCTGCCTTGGCTAACATCAAGGTCACAATCAAATTGATATCTCTAAATGCCTTTTTCCAACTATTAAACTGTAATGGATACACAACTTCAATGGCTCTCATGAGAAAGTCGGAAACACATTCACCTTCATGGGGCTTTAAGGCTACGATCTCATGACATTCTTCGGTATGCGCAAGCAAATAAGGAAATTGGTATAGTAAGTGACTAACCTGATAGCGCCAATCAGAATGATACTCTGCTGGAATGGAATTCCTGGTCCGGTCGTTCAACGTGAATTTTAAAGCGGCTCCCCAGCAACTAAAGTTAACAAAGTTGTCCATGAGTCTTTTTTGAACCTCCAAAATGTGTCTCCGGGCCCTGTATGGTAACATACTTAGCTTTTCTTCTATTGCCAATACTGGGAAGCCAATCCCAGAAAGCTGTTTGAAATAAATAAACGGTGCAAATCTTTCCAGATAATCTATAATAACTTTATTATCAAAGCCTCTGATTCTGTTTCCTGCTGCGTTAATATCCGATGGGGTGCCCCAATGGGGTACAGAGTGCATGGAAGGAAACACCCGCGGAGGTGGACCGTTTGGCTGACTAGGAGGACCGGCTTGAGCAGGAGGATTTGGGTGATGTAAAGGTTGCTGACCTTGACTGGCTGCAAAATTATTGGTCTGAGCCTTTCCTTGCTCAAAAAGTCGATTATAATTTTCAATGAAACCTTGAATTTTACCAAAGATACTTTTGTAACTCAGTGTTATTGAATCAACGAACGTTCTGTCAGTAGTACGGGCAGACTTAGGCGTGCCAATGGCTTTTTTCAAAATTTCAGTGATTTCAGCAGAATCCAACTTAAAATGAGTGGCCAATCCATCAGTAATCCGACATTTCATCTCTTTCAAGTGGTTATCCAGCTCTTCTTTCCATTCTTTTTTGTTGTTTAACACGAACATCTTGAAACTCTTGAAAAGCTTGTTGATTCATCTTAATTTTCAGTTGCAGAATTTGGGTATACATGTTATTTTGTGCACTGACTCTATTCGTCCTGTCAATAAGATAGAATCTCTCGATTTGTTCCCGGATAATACTTTCCGTCTCTGCTAACTTGGCCTTATCATATTGATCATGTAATTGATCTCGAATAATTGATAAGTATAACTCAACACCCTGTTGAGTTTTCAGTTCAATTAGGTACTTGTTCAGCGTGAGATGACTGTTCAACCTTTCAAACGAATCCTGGCGCTCTTCGTCCAGTGTTTGCAAATCCTCTTCCAAATCCTTAATGAGCAGTTGAATTCCAGTCTTTATCTCCCCACTAAACTGCTTGATTTCAGCGACGTTTTTCTCAACAAGCTCGTCATTATCTGCGATACGATTCAAGGTTTTTCTAATCAATTCCTCGTCGATATCAGGAGGTGCTTGGTTAGAGTAACTAGAAGGACCCATTTTTTTTTTTTTTTTTGCAGTCGTTGCGAGAAGACTCGATGTTTATTTACCTAATTTATTTTTTGTGATTCGAATACAATTGTCGAATCAAACAGTTTTATTCTAAAGTCGTCGAGATTGTAAGGGTAATTGAAAACTGACAGTGGGGGCCAGCGACGACAGTATTGCAGTGGAAAATGTTGCAAAGGAAAGTATAACAAGATATAAATTGACTAAATTGCAAAACACCAAAGTTTATATTATGCTTACACTTTTAAACCATAAGAAAAGATTATGTTATGCCAATTGAGAGTGATGAGGGATATGAGATTTATTTATACAAAGATAAACAAAGAGCTTTTACGGATGAATACATCCATAGACCGGATTGTTCGTCTACAAGTGTAGTGAAGTGGTATTACGTACATTTATTGATACAAAGAATTGAATTAATGGAACAGGAAGAGAAAAACAAGCTAAATGGAAAGAAAGAACAAAATGTAGAACTAATTGAATGATTTAATGGAGCACGTAATATGTAAAATGCAAAGACTGATTCTGTTTAATCACCACCACCGAATTGGTTTAGGAAGTTATCGACATCGAATTCTTCTTCCCCTTCCATGGCGTTCATATCATTACCGACGGATGGATTATCATTGGCATACCCTTGATCTAATATATTCATATTCAACCCATCTAAAATCAGTTCATCGTTACCCAATAAGTTATTCATATCTAGATCAAGATCATTAGCGTTTGGTTTATTATTTGAATTATCGTTATTGTTATTACTGGGGTTTGGGTTGGGATTTTCATTTTTAAGATCAGGTGCCCCGTTATAACTAATTGAGCTGAGAATGTCTGAAGGATTAGGTATATCAAGTCCTCCTTTATCGCCAGTGTCACCAAGATCACCCATATCAAAATCAAATCCATCAGTCATGAAATCATTAATATCATTGTTTGATTGTTGTTGCTGTTGTTGCTGCTGTTGTTCTTCTTGTTGTCGTTTTTGATATTCTTCTTGTCTTTTACGTTCATTTTCTTCATTCTGTCGTCTTTCGTTTTCTTCTTTTTCTCTAGCAAGACGTATCTGTTCTTCTTGCCTAGCCTTTTCTGCAGCAGCAGCAGCTGCTACTTTTACTTCTTCTTCTTTTCTTCTTCTTTCCTCCTCCTCTTTGCGTCTTCTTTCCTCCTCCTCTTTACGTCTTCTTTCTTCCTCAGCCTTACGCTTCTGCCTTTCTATTTCTTCCTTCAACTTTAATTCCTCTTGCTTCTGTTTGTTTTCAAGGATTTGCTCAACACACCATTTGGCATCGTTGAACTTAGACACCGTTTCATCTAAGATCTCGTCAAACTTATTTATGCTGTTGGATAGTTGTAATGATATTGCCGGCGAAATCAACTGATTATTGCTTCCTGTAATCAAATTGCTCTGTTTCCGATTGTTATTAATGATCTCAAATATATATCCTGATGATTTTAATACATCATTCAATGATTCGTTAAGTTTACTCTCTAAATTCATGGCGGCAACTTTATCAAAGTCTTCTCTTCGTCCCGGTTCCTGGAGTAGTTCAATTCTGGACGTCCTGCTCTCCTGTCGCTCCTTCGTGTGTTTGTTTCAGGCCTGGTCTGGGGGATTTATTACTAATATTATACCTGGATCTTGTTTGTTGGTAAGGTCTCCATCGTTTAATCCGTTTTGAACTTAAATTCTCTGCATGGTTTCGATAGTTTTCTTTTTCTTTTTCTCGCTCTCGCTCTTTTTTTTTTTCTGCTGCGTAGCAAAAACACACGACCTCGACTTCGTCCTCGAGACGTCAAACAAACGCGTACTGTCGCGTAGCTAAAAAAAAAAAAAGTATTAGGGAAGAGAAATCATTACTTATAAACAAGTTGATTTTCTTAATTGAATAGAGGTATTGGAAAGGTATTGGCAAATACTGGTTAATTATGAATTCTGATCAACTATTATCCAAGCAGGGCCCTTTGGCCCATGTTTGGTTGGCAGCAAACTATGATAAGAAGTTATCCAAACAACAACTATTGAGTACTAATATTATCACCTCGTCCAAGTATATCACTAATCAGCCATTGACATTTAGATCTGCTTCTTCACAGGAAGAATCGTCGCAGGGGACGATCACCTTGAGACTTTCCGGACAGTTGTTACTAGGGATCGTTCGTATATATTCAAGAAAGACCAAGTACTTATTAGACGATGTGAATGATACATTATTCAAATTGAAAAACTCTTTCAGGGTTGCCACTGGAGGGTCGATTTTGGGTGGTGACTCTGCTAATTCCAAGTCGGTGAACTTGCCGGCTCAACAGACGGTTATCTCAAACGTGAATAATCTCATTTTGAGTGATCAAGTTGCAGAATTTGACTTACTTTATCAAGAAGATTTGAATTTAGATGACGACGATGATATGCCTCCTGCCAGTGCTAATACTTTGTTCAGTCAAGTGAATAACTCGGTGAATCATGAGGATAGTTTCACTTTTGACCAATCAATTGAATATCCTAGATACAATGACGATATGAACACTCAGAATGATGCTGGGGACGTTGATTTGGAGTTGGATTTCGATCTCGACGTAGATGAAGATGGGGGCTCGGATAAGTCCATTGAATTGGGTAGAGACGCAGCCGCAGTCAATAATGATCATCCGGAAATGTCCTTGTTAGATATTAAAGAGAATGAAGACGCGTCGATCAACTTTAACAACGACGATTTCAATTTCGATCAACCAATCGAAACCATTGATGAACTCGACCACCACAATGAAAACGCCGCATCAGAACCAGTGACTCCTCCAAGTGAACAGCCAGCACCAAGGGTTCAAAGACCAAGAAAGGCAACTGTAGGGATTACTGAAGACGGTGAGTTAAGAACTAATAAACGTAAATTAATTGTTGATTCAAATGAAGATTTGGAAAATGGGATTCCTACCGATACTTTACGTTCGATTCAGCAACTCCAACTTTCCGACTCCTACAATGATGAATCAATTACTTTGAATTTATCCGAAAGTGAAAAATTACAATTAATTCAAGAACTATCTTCTCCTATTGCATCAAATACTAAAAGAAGAAAATTATGGAACTTGGACGATCATTTACAACAAGAATGTTTAAGATTATCAAAAGAAGAAGAAGAAGCAAAAGAACGTGAAAACGCAGAAGTGAGTTGGGATCAAAATGATTTTGCAAACGATTTTGATTTATCCTTACCTGAACTAGACTCCGATCATGGGGATGAAGATATTCTGGCTGCATTAGAAGAAATACCTGCTGATGTCCTTGATGAAGAATCGGAAGATTTTGGTAATGATAACACTACAAAAGCATCTATACAAGTTGCAGGCCATCTTAGAGATGTTTTGTCAGAAACTAGTGTGACCGAGTTATCTAAAATCATTGAAAAAGACTTGTCAATCACTAATGAATCCGAGCAAACTTACCCCCTTGGTATAGTAAGTAAGTCTAATGACTCAATCAAAATAAGTAAAAGAAGAGAAGCTACTAAAAATTTCTTTGAATTATTGGTTTTAGCTACCCACGATTGCATATCTATCGATCAAAAAATACCATCTGATTCTACCGAAATTGGTGGTAAAATTGATATTAGATCGAAACACCAACTTTTTTCAAAATTTCTTTAAGATAAACTACAATTAAATTTTTCCATATGTACATTAGTTAAGACTTTAATATATAGCATTTACAATAAACACTCTTTTTCTTTTATGACTGGGCCATTAAACTAGTAAATCCTTCATCAACGTCAAGATTTCCATTATTCTCAATAGTCTCATTTATTGCCTCATCATCAATTGACCAAACTGTTGCAGAACCATCACTAAACCCAATTATTAATTTATTCCCCAAGTCATTAAATAAAATGCTGGTTGCAGTAAGAACCTCTTCATCTGTTACCAAAGGTAATTCTGTAATTGGGTTCATTAATCTACAATTTAAGTCCCAAAATTGAATAGTTGGTTTCACTTCACTCTCATCAAATGTACCAACAGTCACAAACTGAAGTGGGAATCCAGGTCTTACGCACGCGGCTGTTATTATAGATGATGTTGGTATAGTAAGAACTGGTTCTTTTTCGATAAGGTCCCATAACTGTAATGTCCAATTAAGATGTGAAGTCAATAAGTAAGACTGATTTCTATGAGATAATTCAATCATTGTCACGATCTTATTAGCATGACTTGTTTCGCCTTCTAATTCATTCTCATGAACTGATTTAATAAAACCACTTTCTTTATTATTTTCTAATGCATAAATTACTCCCGAATTAGATCCTACTAGTAGTTTATCCATAAATCTATATTCAGGATCATGTGATGCAGAAGACTTGGAATGCTTCATCAAATCATTCGAATTACCACCAATAGTTAATGCTGTTTCGACTGTCACAGGCTCAATGAAACTGGAGTTTAAGTATTTGGCTTCTGTTGTTGCATATAATTTGATTGAATTGAGTTTTGGAGTTTCAAGTAAATTACTCGACCAAACATTTATGACTCCGTCGTTTGAGATTGTGAGGATTGATGAGCTGTGATCACTGAAAAGTTGATCAATATACATGATAGGAGAAGTATGGTGTATAAGTCTGACACTACTTTCATCCTTTCTATTCGCCAATGTTGATCCAATTGAGGATATAACAGACGATTTCAAAGTTGGTAAAATACCGATTTTATCCTCTTTAATGTCAGCTAAATCCCAAATGACTATCTTACCTGTAATTAAGCCACCAATTATTTTAGAAGGAGTCGATCTATCAAATCTCACCCTACTGATAGGAGATGTGCATTCTAAAAACATCTCAGGAAATGGCTTGTCTTCTTTAATGCTATAAATGACTGCCAAACCAGGAGAATGGCGTATGCGAGATGAACATGTTTCTGAATTCACAGATTTTTTAGTTTTTGAAGTGCCAGAATACGAAACGACCAATAGTCCAGAAAGATAATTCGATATATCAATCGAAGTTATGCTTCTTCCTTCAATAGGTGGTAAGCTTTGTTCAATATGGAAGGGGGTCTTTAATTTTTCAGTCTCTGCATCGTCTACACCCTCAGCGATGGGAACGGTTTTAGCAAAGTCAGCAAATAGGGAAGGATAGCCTGGGTCCTTTGCAATCACCTTGTTCAATCTTTTAAGTGATTGTAAAAGCTCTTGGTTCACTTCAACTTCAACTTCGGCAGCTTCATGTTCACCATTCCCAAGTTTCTCATCCTCAGTCACTAATGGCAATTCCTTAGCCTGGGGTTCTAGTAATGTTTCTTCCAAGTTTTCATCGTCAAGAATCAATGGCTCAACTTGTATACCCTTATCAAAGGTAACCACACCTTCTGATCGGGTGAATTGACCAGGCACGTATGACTCAGGATCTGAATGATTTGGTTTTGGAAATTGGTCTGTTTGAATAGCAACACTAACTTGTCTGGCTTCACTGGGCTGTTGTTTGAGAGTGTCGGCAATATCTTCGAATGATGTGTTTTCCAGAGTTGTACCGGATTCACCTAGCCTTCGCTGCTTCAATTCTTGCAAACGTTGTCTTTTCTTCTCTAATAGTGACTGTCTATCCATTGATCCTTTCTTCTAAGCGAAGTCCTCAAGAACGAAGCTATTGTAGGTTAAACGTTTGAATTGTGTTGGTAGATCAAAACATCAAAACATCACTGTATCAAAAACGCGTACTTCAGATTTTTTTTTTGTTCATTAGATGAAATTAATTACTGAATTTTATCGACTCCTAAAGCATCTTGCTAAACAAAGATTTAAAGCATGGCTGACCCGTTCCTGATTGATGATATACTTAATGAATTTGATCCAACCCTTGTTAACAAAAAGAATGCACCAAAAAGGAGTCTTTCAGAGGAGCTAGTGACTGCCATGTTAAACGAAAGGATGGCTCCAGAGCTACTTCCCTACAAACACACCCTCATGGACCTAGTTTTACAGCAAATATCCAGCCAGCAACAATATCTACTTGACTCTCATGAATATGGAGACTCTAATGGTGATACTGGTATGCTTAGTGCTGACTTCAAACTACAGTTAATGATTATTGAAACCGATATTGAACGGTTATCTTACTTGGTTCGTCTATACCTAAGAATCAGGTTGATGAAGATCGATGATTTCACTATATTCTACATAAACGAGACTGCCGAAGAGTCTCAAATGCCGTCAAATGAAACATTACTATCTACTGAAGAGAAGGATTATATGCAAAAACACTTCAAAATATTGACTCAGCTCTATAATAATAGTTTTTTGAAGAAACTTCCTGATTACTTGACTTTATTGGATGATGAATCGGCAGGAATCTCTATGATAACGAAACCGGACTTGAATGTTCCTGTTTTCATAAGAGTTAAAAGTACCAAGCCGATATATATACCCTTGGGAGATGATGAGGAGTTGGAATTGATAGAAAATGGTATTTATGTTGTCAAGTACAAATTAATAAAGAAATATTTAGAATTGGGAGATGTGGAGTTAATATAAAATCATGCAAATAATGTCTATATACAAGATAACGATACATAACTTTAAGTAATTAAACAAAGATTAATTCGTCACAACCACCAGGACACTCAACATTTTCACCTTCTACGAACCATTCTCTCAAACAACCAAAGTGACCTCTATGACCACATCTTAAACTAACCACAACATTTAACCCTTTACAAGGTTCATTACAGTAAACACAATTGTACTGCTTCTTAGAACATTCATCACAGTACCAGTAACCGAATTCATCTGACTGCTTACGGGAAAGATATTCTTTTGATTTCTCATTCACCAATAATTTCAGACACCAATTGCAGTAAAATCTTAAATTTATCTCATTGTTTGTTAAGTAATTTAGTTCCGACAGTAATCCTTTTGGAGCCACCTTCACCACTTTGACTGCATTAGTAAATAGTTGTTTTCTGCGAAGAATTTCAACATATAATGCTATACATTCCAAGCTAGCATGCTTTTTGATAACACCTCCAAGATCTTCATTTGAGTAATCGTAGAATAGAAGTATTAATGTTGCACTCATTATAATATCTCCTTGATGCATAGCATAGTCTAATGACTTTTCTAGTAAATTCGTAGTGCTCCAGGGAATCGACAAGTCAAAAGATTGGTTATATTCATTTGGTGAAGGTTCGCTCCGCTCATGAAAGGCCCTCGTAAGCTCAGATCTAGCTGTGACACTTCTCTTATCGGTTGTTTCAAATGATTTTTGATCTTCTTGTCTCTCATCGACTTCATTTAGTTCATTTTTACCCAAGAACACGTCTTTGGGAGTAAATGATTTAGGATTATTAAAAGACGATGATCTATGGCTTCCAACTACTGACGAATTTCGTCTCGACAGATCTGAAGCGAGCGACCGAGAACTACTGTGAAACGAATGGTGTGGTGACGGAATTCTTTGGTTGAAGTAGGTTGGGCTACTTCCACCTGAAGATTGAGCAAATGCCATCGACGAGACTGCATTGTTCATCACATGGGAGTTTTCATCATCCAAGTCTTGCGTTAAATTGGGTCTGGGTCTATTATGAAATGATGCGTTTCCGAAGGAGTATTTATGTATAGCCGGATAATTTCTGGCCCCAGCGATATTTCTAGGAGATCCTTCGGCGTCATTAAATGGAGCTGATGATTCCAACGACTTGACCTTAATTGGTGAAGATGACGCGCTGTTGATTCTTCCAGTATTTACTGAATTTTCTTTAATAGGCACAGAGCGTTTGAATAGGTCATCCGTCGTACCTTTCTCCTTTGTCTGTTGATCATTATCATTATAGTCATCGTCGTCAATGGCACTTTCATCATCATTCTTCAATTTTTTGTTTCTTGAATCGACTTCACCAGATCCCTGGGACATACTCTGGTCACCCGAATCAATGAAACTATGGGAGGAAGAATTTTTATGATCAGTAAACGCATGGAGGTTTCTGTCTTTAGTGTTGCTTAAGGGGCCAGATCCACCAGATGACTCAACACTGTTACCGCCGGTTGTTTCACCTCCAGTCCCATTAACCCCGCCGTAATTTGTTGTCAGAGTAGAATTGGAATTATAAGACCCGACGATGTTACCAATATCTGACAGAATTGACTTATCATCATGGGAATTTTCACTTTCTAGATGGTTTCCATTTGAAAGATGTGTGTCACGGTTGTCTATATGATCGTAATGACTTGAGTCCTGCTCAAGGCTGACAGCTAATATTCTCCATATTTGACAGTCTCTGAATCTATTCACAGCCGCTGCTATTCTTGCGTTAATAAAACAAACGTCAACTAAATTGAAGGATTCCGGGACCTCCATTAAGTAGCTATCGGCTAGACATTTGAATACCTCATCGTCATTGAGTGGGAGAGGGAGGGATAAAGGTACCAAGTAAGGTGATGGGTGATATACATTAATGACTCTTCTTGACTGAGTTTGACCGTGTGAATTTGCTTGTTGGTTATGATGAGTGAAATGGGCTTGCTGTATTGGAGACGATCCCTGAGACGCTGCTGAACCCTGTGTTGACTGAGACGCATTTCTTTTCAATGGCGGTCTTTGCAAACTGCTCGAACTACCTATTCCAGGACCAAAACCAAAAACGTCCATGGTGTTATTCGCTCTTTGTTGGGGGATCGGGGACGGCGATTTTGCTTGCAGCAAAGGGTTATAGGTAGATGTTCTGATAAAAGGTGGTTTCTCCATTGGAGATGAGTTGATGGAGGTACCATTCGAATTGAATTGAGTGTTAGATGCAACTGGAACAGAGCCAACGCTAAAGCGGTTCCCACTGAGTCCGAATGGAGTATCATGGGGTGTTGTGGAGTTATGTAGCTCAATAGGTCGGGAGTCCATTTTTGAATCTTCCCATCCCCCAGAAGAATCCAGATTCCCAGGTTGGTTATTCAGGCTAAAGTCATTTTGAAAATCTTGACTATTTTCATTGAAAGTTTCAGAATAGTAGCTATCCTTTCTACCTTCATGATCGGGTGTCACGACAGTGGATTGAAATTCATTTTTTCTTTGGTCGACAAAACATAAACCCCCTACTGCACTATTCCAATCAACAGAGACTTGACTTAGATGATCCAATGGTCTCAATATGTTAGGAGATGATTCATCTGTTATATAATCGAGTTCATAAGATGCAAAGAGGTTAGATTTTGTAATTGTCCATAATTTTCTTAGGCCATTTCTATTACGGGCCCAAATGAAGTTTTGAAAAGGTTTTCTAGAAGTAGTAGTAATAATCTCCTTTGGGATGAATTTACGTTTTAAATTGTAAACGGTGATCGTGGTATCTTCATTGAGATACAGACATGCAAAGTCATAATTAAAAATCGAATCCTTACTATAGTTATAACCATCCGAAGAGTATACAGGTCTGGAATCGGCATGTTCACTCCACCGTACTTTCATTACTGGACCATAAGTATGAACTATGCAGTCTGGACTTACTTTAGACAGGTGATTTGATGCTTCGCCATAATTCCAAACACAGAGTTTCTTATCTCTACCACCGGTTATAACATATTCTTTTTCAGGATGTATATGTAAGGACAAAGCAGGGCCACTATGAAAGTTCAATTTTCTTTCAGGCAATGACATCTGGTTTTGATGGGAATGCTGCGAGTAACTATTATTGTTAGGATTATTACCACCAGTTTGGGTTCTTAAGTCATATATACAGAGTGATCCTGAATCATGAACCGATAATACGGTCAACTTGTTTCGAACAGTATTATGAGGAGAGTATTGACAGGATCGTATCGGGTCTGAGTGAGACGAGGAAGCGACCGTCATCACCGGCTTGTTAACTGAGCTTCTCAAATCCCATAACTTAATTGTACCATCTTGAGAACCCGATAATAACTGATTTGGACCATCAAAGTTAGATGTGCTATCAATGAAATCGAGTGAGTTTATGCATCTTTTGTGGTCGGAAAACTTATGTATTAGTCTTGATTTCCCATTATTATTAACTTTATAAATAGATATGGTACCATTAGATAAACCACAAGCCACCAAGTCTTTTTGAGATTTTATGGTATTAACATTATTGAGTTTATTTGATTGGAGTCTTGAATTTGAATTATAAACTGGATTATATTGATCAAGGAGGTTTATTTCATTAATTATAGCCGACTGGTCAGTGTTCAATGCTAAGAGTTTTAAATAGTTTTTACCACCAACTAAAACATGATGTGATGGGATAGTATCATAATAAGAACCAACAATGTTATTTAAAGGATAATTTAGTTCGGATAAACACGAAACCTCTCGCTCACAATTGAATATAAGTTTGGTTTTGTTAACACTCTGTTGTCCGTGAGCCGGAGGAAGTGAACTCGAGCCAATTGCAGGAGTAATTGAAGAAGTTGTCAGATCTAGAGACGCAGAAGCTGATAATTTATTTGGAGTAGAAGGTAATGAGGACGTTGCACTGGCGCCTTCAGACTGATTCAATGTCCCATAGATATTGAATGCAAACTTCGCCAAACTCAGATGATTGCTGTTATTCTGAGACATTACGGCGTGGATAATGTAAGATTAGTTGAGGTTGAAGGTTCTAGATATAAAAATTGATATCTTCAAAAAAAATTAGTGCAACACTCAAATACTTTTATCATTAAACTTGAAGTTATTTTTTTTGTTGTACTGGGTTGTATGATTTTCTCCATAAGTTCCGTCAAACCCACCACAGGAATCATTGAAGCCTGATAGAATTGCGAGTGTTGGAGGAGCAAGTTGAATTGAGTTAACTGATAAAAAAAAAAGATTATTGTTTGTGTTGATGGTGATGTCACTTTCGCTTGTACTTTATAAACTGTTAAAAATTGGCAAAATGTTTTGTCAAATAAGTTTAGGGGTAATGGCCCTTCTGCTATTGGGTTTATATTCGTATCAGGCCACATTGATATATCCGGCAAGTTTGAATGATGGCCATGGATATTGTGCCACTCCTGATGAATATGATATGCCGGAATTCAAAAATGTATATTTAAAGACTGAAGATGGAGAGACCTTACATTGTTATTCATTGAAACAGGATCGAAACTCTGTCAATTATTCGAATAAGACGATTGTGATACTTTCGCCAAATGCAGGGAATATTGGACATGCCTTACCGATTGTTGCATTATTTTATAAAGAGTTCAGATATAATGTATTTATATATTCTTATAGAGGATATGGGAAATCCAGTGGTAAACCCAGTGAAGCCGGATTAAAGATTGATGCACAAAGAGTTATGTCTTATTTAACCAGTGAAGACGAACAATATCAAGAATCATCACTTATATTATATGGAAGATCATTGGGAGGAGCGGTTGCAATTTATATTGCATCCAGTATGAGTTCATTAGTCCATGCGATTATATTGGAGAATACTTTTTTATCGATTCCCAAGACGGTGCCTCATGTATTACCACCATTAAAGTATTTTACCAGTTTTGTATCGGAAACATGGGATCTGGAAAAATTAATTCCTAATATCCCATCTAATATACCAGCATTATTATTAAGTGCAAGAAAAGATGAGATTGTTCCACCAGAACATATGGATAAGATATATGAGTTATTGAAAACTGAAGACAAGATTTTTTATAAGTTTCCTAATTCAGTTCATAATGATACCGTAATACAGCCAGCTTATTGGGAAAAGATTCATGCATTTATTAAAGATCAAGTGAATCCAGTTGGATATTAGTAGTTTTACAATCAAAGAAGGTAATTAATTTTTTCGAAAAAAGATGTAAATATTATATGTATACAGAACTTATATATAAGTCAGGGGAGGACACAGAGATAAAAAAAAAAGAATGATTGATAGTAGAACCAATCAACCCAATGATTATAATCTAATCACTAATGAAATAAAAGTTAATCTAAATCAAAATTTGAGGTTCACTACCCTTTTTATTTGATTCATCATGAGACATAAAATCAACTTTTTGTTCATCAGCTAATTTTAAAACTTTTTTCAATCTTTCACCAACGGTTTTCAATTTACTTTCATCACAATCTCTAGTCCAAACACCAATTCTAATGGCGGATTTTCTAATATTTAAAACAATACCATTAACTTCATCTTCATCATCTTCAATAGTTTCACCAATAACAGATAATAAACCTCTTAACCATAAATCATTAATAGTACTATAAATTTCACGTTTATTTGAAAAAGCATATTGCCATCTACCACCTTTTGAATTTTGTTCATCTTCCCATTCTGGTTTAATACCTTCTTTAAATAAATGATAATCTGATTTCAATGGTAATTGATTAGCAGCTGGAATTGAGTTATAAATCCCCCAGAATTCTTCAACTGATGAGAAAGTAATAACTGGTTTTAATAAATCATGCCATTGTTCACGAGAATTAGTTTGTGGTTTTGTATACCATAAAGTCCATTTACTATTCAAAGGATGCTTAGCAGTAAATTCTTCTTTACTTGATAAAACAGTTTCTTGTTTATCTAAAGTTAAATCTTCAGTTTGTTTAGTCAATTCTTCAGACATCTTTGCTGTTGTTCTTACCTTTGAAAGATTTTAGTTAGCTTAACTCTCTCTTTTTTTTTTTTTGTAAAGTCGTTGATGACTTTTTCCTCTTCTTAATAAGTACTGGAAAGTTTTTTTCTGTTCTCGCACACCTATTTTCAGCTACCGATTTACCTTCTTAGCTGCTAACTATGCTGGGAAGCTCTTCTGAATCTAGCCGCTTGCTGATCGACCCATCTCTAGGCTTTTTGTTAGCGATTTCTGCCCTGATAATTGTTTTACTTTCACCGTGCTGTAGTCTGATCCTTCAGGATACGGGTAAACTCCAGTACAGGTAAATGTGAGTATGCCAAATTTTCGAGCGAGACAAAAATTTCTGCAAAAACAACATGTACGGGTCTAATCGCAAACGTGTACGGGTCTGCTTACAAGGAATGTACCGGTCTTTTTATCAAGTAGCATTAAAGTAATATACAAAGAGTAGAACTAGAAGGTTTATGAATGAAAACTAGAGAAGGGCACCGCCTAACAAAACCAATCCACCAAATATACCACCGTAAACATTTTCCTTTTTGTATAAGCCATGGCCAGCATTAGATTGCTTGATGGTGGTTTCGGTATAACTTCTGACTTTACCAACTTCTCCACTGATGGAACCCAATCCAATCCCACCGGATTTGGCATCAGCGGTGGCTGAACTGTATGCTTTGGCAAAAGTTTGACTGTAGATTGAAGAAACGGTAGCCAACTTCCCCTTGGAAGTAATGGTGACCCAAACGGTGGTTTTCGATGTGGTTTTAGTCTTTTTATCGTCATCACCTTGGTTTGCCAAACCGGCAACTAATGAAATCAAACTCACAAATGTTATTAAGAAATTATACAACTTCATGTTTAAAGCGAATGTAAATGGTGCTGCAAACCGATCAGTAAAGAAAAGTAAAACTAATTTAATGAAACTGGTCCAAAGAGTGGTTTAATAACTAAAAAAAAAAAATAACTAATTAACAGAGTAGTTTTTATTCTGCTTATGTTTTTTAACTAACAAAAAAACTCCTTTGGCAACGAAAGGAAATGTTTTTTGGGCTGATATTTGTTCCTGAGCCGAGTATGGGGAATAGCGGTCCCCGGTGGGTTTGTGCGGTGCGACCGGATGTGGTGGGGGTAACCACTGTACGGTCACGTGATTGCGCGCGATACGCGACTTTCCCCGGAACGCCCGTCTGCGCTTGATGCCGTCGGTAATGAATACAGCCTCACTCCTCAATGTTGCTCAGAATCCCATAGCCACGCTAGATCTTGGGCAGTCTTTTCAAACCGGGGGGACTGGCTACTGGCAAGACTGTGGGTTTGGTATACTGGCCACAGACCACTTCAGCGACTGGGTAAATGGGGGTGTGTGTGGCAGCTGCTTAGACTATGTCGAGCAACTTATCTGGATTGGCTTAAAAAGTCGTTGAAAAGCCCGAATTGAACCCTGGGAAGCACGATTTCGTCAGTTGCCCTCGGATCTCAGCGTGACCAAACCTCCGTACATCTGGTTTAGTTGCAACTTATATATTGATCTATCAGAACAGTGTGGTGGTATGTGCTGTTTATAATGCTCTGGGTATTGGTTTTGGTTGGTGATTCGTATATTAATGTTGATTGTTATATTGATAGGTATATTGATATATATTAGGTTTATTGGTAGATATTAGGTATATTGGTAGATATTAGGTATATTGGTAGACATTAGGTATATTGGTAGATATTAGGTATATTGGTAGATATTAGGCATATTGGTAGATATTAGGTATATTGGTAGATATTAGGTATATTGGTAGACATTAGGAATATTAATAGGTAATTCTAGAGGTATGTCAATAGGTAATTCAAAATACCCATTAATATGTATCGACTTGTGAGCCGATTCGTATATTAGCTTCTCCATTTGTGGATCTACTGATTCGTATTTACTGACTTTTTATAAAAGGAATGAAATTACCCCGAAAGATGTTATGACTGGAATGATACAACACACTTTATCAATGGTAGCAGTCTGTGAAGATAAGATCGAGCAGCATTCTTAATTACTGCTAAAACTGCAATTGTTTTGCGCACTACTTCTGATGAGATGAATTTTTTTTCTGTACTAAAGCTCATCGAATACTTTTCAACTTACTAACACCTTGATCAGCATTCAGTAAGGCAACCATGGCTAAGAAATCATTGGCAGAGCAAATCGCCGAACTCAGCAAACCCCAAACTGATTTCGATATAGAGGATACCGAGTTTCGTCAACCGGAAGAAAGCGAATCCGAGAATTCCAATGATGATGAAGCAGGGAATGATCATTACGTTAAGGTTGGTGATTCCAAATTAAGAAAAAATATCGAGAAAGTTGCTCTTGGAGGGAAATATAAAGGGCACGTCACCAGTAGGCAAGACTTGGTTGACGATGAAGCCGAAGAAAGCGGAGAAGAACCTAGTGAACCTAGTGAGGATGAGGAAGATGAAGAGGAAGAGAGTGATTCCGGAGCCTCATTGAGATCTAATTCATCGGATGAGTCCGAGCCAGAAGAGGATGAGCAAGAAGATGAAGATCTTGTTGCTAAAAGAAGTAAGTTGAAAACTTTATTAACTCAAGAACGTAAGCATATTATAAATAGATTATCCCAATCTACGTCTAATGATTCAATTAAGGGTTTTGCTATATTACAACAACAAAAAATGTTTGATTCAATTATCGACAGTCGTTTGAAGATACAAAAAGCATTAACCAATTCAAATCAATTACCAATCAATTTCCAGGCACTAAAATCAGAAAAATTATCAACCAAGAAAACTAATTCATTAATTGAATCATCAACTGAGAAATGTTATGACTTATTAGACAGCATTTTCCAATTAAGAAATAAATTGAATGAAAAAGATGGTACTTCCACAACTCCTAATCCTAAAAAGAGAAGTTTATCAACTTATCTTGAAACAACTAGTAAACACGATGCAATTTTGAACAAGTATAGATCATCAGTACTTATTAAATGGTCGGCCAAAATCCAAAATTCGTCTGGTTCCACTGCAATTAATAATGGGAAATTCAAGGCAATTAATCAAAATGCTGAACAACAAGTATCCAATAACTTATCTGATATGGATAGACTAGTCAAGAAGACCAAATTAAATCGTAGAAATATCACTCCTTTAGCTATTGACTATTACACCAAGAACTTCACCAGAGATGATGAAAAAGATTTAAAACAAGATGAGGATGATTATAATCCAGACATCCCTCGCCAAATAAATAATAATGAAAATAAAAATCAGTTGATTGAATTGAATTCAATTTTTGACGATGAAGATTTTTATCGGGTTTTACTCAATGATTTGGTTGATAAAAAAATCCAATCAACAAATCCAGCCAATGGATTAACCTACGCATTAAGAAGTGCCCAAAAAGCCCATAAATTAAAGAAAAACGTCGATACAAAAGCCTCCAAAGGTAGGAAGTTAAGATACCAAATCCAAGAACCAATTAGTAACTTTGAAACTCCCCAAAGTAATTGGACATGGAATGATGATCAAATCGACGAATTCTTTGCCTCGCTTCTAGGCCAAAAAGTCAACATGAACGAGCTTGAAGACGAACACTCCGACGATGACCGTGACTCGGATATCATTGATAATGACAACTCCATCAAGTTGTTTGGTTAATGTACATACTTTTCCTGTTTTGCAGTTTTTGCAGTTTCTTTGTAAGTGTTTTTGTAAGTGCGAGTGAAATCTGTGGGCACGGGTGTTTTTGCCGGCGCATGAACTAAACCAACGTTTGGAATTAAATAACCTAAAACAGACGAAATTACCCGCGATGGCTCATTAGAGATGCGTTTTTGACATACCCCCAATGGAATAATTAATTTCCGATTTTTAGTTTGCAACCAGTTTAAAGCCAGCCTGCTGCTGGGGTCGGTAATTGTTTACCCTGGACTGGTACGGGCCTTCAACACCTGCGTGCTGATTGGTTGACGTAGTCAGCATTCCGCTCGAAATACCTTGTTATTCCGTTGTCATTAGCTATGCTATTTACTTATTTACCTTGTGTTGTTTGTTTTCTTTGTCCTCCTCTTTTTTCTTTTTTTTAATTTGTCTTGTTCTGTTCAATTCCTTATTAACTTTATAGTCCTTTCATTATTGAGTTTGTCTCTGGGCTTAGGGAGGGAAATCCTCAATGAAAACCCCCCAACCCCCTTGTTTTCTTTTGAGTATTCAATAGAATTATGAAACCATTCGTCCACGCAATAAACTCGAGGTTTCAGAACCTTCTCGAGAATATCATTTGAACCCCTTTTACCATTTTCGTTCGAAGTCTTTGTTTACTCGTTGGTAGAAATTGAATTTCTGTGTATTTTATTTGATTTTTTGGTTCTTTATTCGTTTCAGTCTTTTTTTTTTTTTTTTTTTTTTTGGCTTTTTTTTTTTTTTTTTTTTTTTTTTGATTTTTTTGGCATTTTGATTCCTTTAATGATATTCTTCTTTAACGTTTGAAAAATAAAGTAACCCTAATTGAAATAAGCCAGTTTCACCTTCTGCTTGTATAATGTCTATTATAAAGAAGAGAACTTACAGTAGAAAGGGATGTATGGAATGCAAGTCTAGGAAAATAAAAGTACGTTTAATATAGTTGCAATTTTTATGCAATTTCCGAGATTACTAACATTTCTTCAACAGTGTGATGAACAGAAGCCAGTGTGTCAGAATTGCAGTAAAGTTCAAAAAAACTGCTCCTATACTTATCAAACCAAGCTTCCACAACCTCGTAAAAAAGTTCAAGTTCATTCCCAATTTATCATGTTGAATCATGAAGATTATACCGATAAGTCTAAAGGTCAATTGAAAAAATTGGAGGAACAAAAACTTATCAAAGAAGTCAAGTCATCTACTAAAAGTTTGAATTCCAAGCTTGAATCTCCAAATTTAGTTCATCTGTCCAGCTCTTCGTCTCCAAAGACTGTTAAATTGGAATCTGATTCAGGTAATCAGATCTCAATCACTTCTTCAAATACTTCCTCCATTTCTAATAATGATAGTTTTAGAAGCGATACCACTCATTCCCAATTACCTCCTCAACAACCACCGTTACTTCCCCATTTGGCTCCCCAGGGTCCAAATCAATTACATCCTCAACTAACCCATCAGTTACCTCCACAAATACCTCATCAATTACCTCCTCAGTTACCTCCCCAATTACCTCCTCAGTTACCTCCCCAATTACCTCCTCAGTTGCCTCCTCAGTTACCGCATCAATTACCTCCCCAGTTACCTCCTCAAATATCCAATCTCCACTCGAGATCTACGTCGAGCTCTCTTCCGCATAACCAATCTTTTACTTCTATAAATCAGCAGTATCAATACCCATTAAGTCACGGCCATTCTCGTAGCCAAAGCCAAAGTCACCAAAGTCAAACCCAAAAAAGTCAAAACCAAAACCAAAATGAAACTCAAAGCCGAAGTCCAACCAGTCAGCCCAAATCAAATTCTCATCCCAATAATATTCAACCTCCAAGCTTACCAGTAACCACTCATTCATCATCGGTATCATTGAATAAATTACCCCCATTGATTCATTCGGAAAATGATCCATTGAAGAAAAATCAAAGCTCGACTGAACTTTTCCACGCTTCCAATGTTCCAACTTTACCACCTCCTCAACAACACTATATCCCAATACGACACTCAAACATACCAGGTAGTCTATCAACTGCACATCTGCCTAATCCAAATCAATTTAATTTTTCTGGATTAACACCCACCACTTATTTAACTCCTTCCACCAATAATGTTCCGTATTCTCCTCCTCCGAATCAAAATTTACAACCTACAAACCCTAATATGATTCCTAACGATGTATTGATTAACGACGCTTCAGAATTAGCTCAAGGATTAAATGTTTTGATGACTATGGATGTACAAGATTTATTTACTGATTCAAAGGATTCCATCGAGGTGAATTTTGAAGAATTATTCAATAACGATAAACCTCAACCCGACGTGTTTGAAAATGATTCAATGATTCATGATTTAATTTCGGCATTCGATGTAGTTGACGGCTCCAAAAATTATTTAAAATTATTTAGAGAAAAGTATTCTTTATGGTTGATGTCATTATCACCTAGTGGTGATAAACATTTTTTAACAAAAATTTTATTAACTCATGCCCTTAAAACTCCATTTTTATTGCATGCCATTATTTCAATTACTGCAAATTATGAATGGTTCTTCACAAAAGATCCAAAAGATGGACATGCAAGAAAACATTTCTCCACTCTTTGTCAAAAAAATTTGACTTCCATCTTCGAAAGTCATGATAAGACTTTAGATAATATTGAACCTTTGATTTTATCCTCATTATTGTTGGTAACTGATACCGTTGGAACGTCAAACGGTATCTGGAGATCTCATCTAAAAGGTGCCAATGATTTGTTTCAAAAATATGTTGGAATTTATAAACCAATGAATCCAACAATCATCTTAGCAACCACTTGGTTTGCATCTTTTGAATTTATAGCTGTTTTAACTAACCCCTTAGGTGGCGCTATTCAATCACAAAATGAATTGGATGATATTTTAAAACCAGTTTTATATGAAGGTCATAAACCATTAGCTATGCAATCAGGTTTCATATTACCCGATGGATATAATGTCTTTTTAGGATTTTCATCTCAAGCTACAACTTTGTACATTCAATTTGTTAAAGTATCCTTAAAAGTACAAAAATCAAGAGATCAAGTAGTTGATCCACTCGATTTATCATTTTTGATTCATTTATTTCATGAAGCTCACAAGTTTAAATTGATCTCTCATGATATTATAGTAACTAAAGAGAACCCTTTTTATCCAAGAGGATCAGGGATTTTAACGATTCCTCCAGAGGCTTATGGTTATCATAGAGATATTGTATTTTCATGGTATGATCTATCTGATAAAATTCACATACAAGCATTGTATTTGGTCTTATTAACCAATGCTAATTTCTTGAATTTACCAACTGAATCTCCATTAGTTCAAAAAACTGTTGAAAAAATCTTGAGTTATTGTTATTTTTTTTATAATATTGATTTCCAAGATCCTAATTTTGATTTTGATCATGTATTATCGTTACCAGAAAACGCAATATTACAAGATCGTCGTTTAATGATGTGTCATTCTTCTATCTTAATCTGTGGACTAAATTGTTTAGAACACATATCACAAATGAAAATTGAATTGTTTTTCAGATCATTGCAAAAATTAGGAATTAGATCAGTTGAAAAATCATTAACTAAACTTAGAAGCATATGGAGGGGAGAATCAACTACTTCAGATTATGTCCCTTATTTATAGTATGTTTCTCTACTGTATATAGTTTTAATTCTATTTACAAATGCATGATGATTACGTTTAACTTGATATATTAAGGAAGTAGTCTATGTACAAGAAAGAAATCGAATAACTATAATCTTCTTTCGACTTTGTTTAATTTACCGGCAATATAACCATTATTTCTAGTTCTTTGACCACGAACTGGTAAACCGGCTGCGTGTCTTTGACCAGCATAAGAACCAATAGATCTTTTCAATTTGATATCGCTCAAAATCTTGGCTTTTAACTCATTTTCAACTGCCATTTCGGATAATTCTTTATTAATAGCCATAATTTGGGGTTCAGTAAGTTGATTCATTCTCATTTGTGGGTAGATTCCAACTTTTGCACATAATCTTTCAGCAGTATTATATCCAACACCGAAAATTCTCTTAGCAAGCCCTATTCTGACCAAGGCGTTATGCTTAATGGCTTTACCGAATATGTGAACGGCCATATTGTCCTAAGTTGGTTAAGTGAATGAAGTAGACGTTAGAAATTTTCATAAAACCAAAAAAAAAAAACTAAAATAAAATAAAACTTTTCATTTAGAACACCCGTACCACATCTACATAATTATATATACAAGATGAATGCTTTATATTAATTTTTACTATACTTCAGTTTTTGTTGTTCTATATCTAGTCTTAGGATAAGAAGAGACCTTAGTAAACCAATCATAGTGATGAAACTCGCCAAACCAATTGGAACCACGGCGAAGACGACGATATTATAGAAATCAAAAAATCTAGCTCTTCTTTTACCCTTTAAATCTAAATTAGAAGTCACAAAATTTTGGACGATATATGCTAAAGTTAAACAACAACTGATTAAGATCCAGATATGTAGGCCGTATTTGTAACCTTCTGCAGAAAGAGAAGCCACAAGATATTGTTCGATGGTGATTATTATGGTAGACATTGATAACATACGAACAATTGCAGCAGCGGTTGAATAAGTTACAATCCAACGAACCATTAAGCCATCAAGGACTTGATACAGTAGATATCCAGCAACCAAGCACCATACACCGGTCAAGAAATGTTCTGAAGATCTAGCGGTTGTTATTGCGATAATCTTTTGATCTGAATTTGATAAATTAGAAGAAAGATTTATAGGGGATGAGTTGAAGAAAGACCTTCTCCACAGTTGAATTAAACCGATTACTGGAGGAGCTAGGGAAAGATCACGGCAACAAGCAAGAAGGAAATGTTGTCTTGCATTTAAGAATTTTAAACCAATTTTTTTCAAAGATCTTTTACCATTATTTTTACGAATAGACTGATGATTCCAATTAGTATCATTATTTGGATCTTCGTCACTTGAAGGATCCAAGGTATTAGGATCATGAAGGCTATGATTTGAATTGAGACGTCGTATAGAGGAAGGACGACTATTTTGTTGATGTAGTTGATGACTATGATGTAAATTATTAATGAAAGTATTTCTTAAATTAGACAGAGAAGCGCTTCTTGGGTATAGCATTAAAGAATTTGATCTTGAAACATTGGAAGAAGTGGGTATTGATTGAGAAAGAGGACGAGTCAAGTCAGTCAATTCTCTTTGTTGTTGTTCATGGAGTAATTGGGAAGATTCATAAGAAGGAACTAATTCATCGGGATCATAAGGATCAGTTACATGTTGAACCCGAGACTGTTCAAAAGATGGAGGAGGTAAAGGAGAAGGATCAGATGGTAATTCGGGGTTCACCCGGAAAGAATTCATAGTATGGGACGAGGGGGAACGATTGCAGGAAGTGGTATAATCATCATCGACAGTATGAGATTCTAATTGATGAGTTAATCTTCTCCTTATATTCTCGAGAAGTGACATTTAATATTCATTTAAACAAATAGATATATTGAAAAGAAAAGAGATTAGACGGGATTATATTTGAAAAAAAAAAAAAAATCAGTCTGTGAAATTTTCTCAGAGATGAACAAGATAAGATGACTGAGGGGATCAATCGTTTGGTTGATAAACAACATAGTTAATGACTTAATATACGAGGGCTACAGATTAATACAAAATACTAATATTTGATCCTGTTAATTGGATATCTAATGGAGGGGCAAAAAAAAAAAAAAAGGTAGGATAAAATCATCTCATAGAGTAAGAGAAATTAAGTTTAGATAGCTTCTAATTGTTGACTAATTTCTTCTAATTCAGCTTTAGCGTTATTATAAGTTTGGGTTAATTCTTCGAATTTCTTTTCCCATTCTTCTTTTTCAGATTCTAAAGAAGCAACTTTTCTTTCTAATTGTTCAGCTTTAATATCGGTTTCTCTTAATTTTTCAGTAGTTTCTTTTAAATTTTTATCAGCTTCTTCTAATTCTTCTTCTAAGACTTGATTCTTCTTGGTATAGTTTTCATTTGAAGTTTTCAAGGAATGAGATTCATCGGCGGTTTGTTTAATTTCATCCAAGTCAGTTTCCAATTTTTCAACTTGTTCTTCTAAAACATTATTTTTACGAGTTAAAGCTTGAATTTGATGATCTTTATCTAAATTTTCTTGTTCTAATTCTTTAATACGTTCGGTTAAATCATCAGATTTTTCTTGCCATTTTTCAGCATCTAATTTCAAGTTACTAATTTTCTAGAGGTAAATCGTTAGTAAATGAATCTAAAGCATAAATTCGACTAATCGTTGGGTAAAATCATTGTTTGGGAATGCCACGCAGTAATTTGAGGACAGATCATCCAGATCAATCAGATCAACTGGATCGTCCAGATCATCCAGATCCAAAGCCATCCACTAATGATCCTCCGCTTGTCCATAATTTAGCCAACAGATCAATCGAACTTCATTCGGTATTATGACGAATCTTGGTATAAAGGCAAAATTGGTAAGCGCTTAAGCGCTTTCCAATGGGGCAAAGCTTTAACCTTTTCCTAATACCTTGCAAAACTGAACTAACATACTTCCTTGAGCTTATCCATTGTGATTAGACTAGATTAAGATATATCAATCGATAAATTGAGTTTTCCAAGAAGAAAAGAAGTAGTTAAAAAAAAAATTAAATTAACGATTTGGACTTTTTTCCCTGTGTCCTTTGGCGCTTTTTTTGTTTTTTTTTTTTTTTGTTTGATTTTTTTTTTTTTGGTCTTTTTTTGGTTCGTTTTCTTTCGTTTTTCGGTGCTTTTCGTTACTGGGTTTTGTTTATTTGTTTACGGAGTAGTGGTCTACTCGAGGGTTCTATGGCCATTTCTCGAGAGCTGGTTATAGTGTGGCAATTGGATCACTGACGTACGGTAACTGTTGTTTTGTTTTTGTTTTGTTTTGTCGTTTGGCGTAGGAGCAAGCCCTCCGTACACCACCCGTAGAAACAGTCTAGTAAAAGTATACAAGTAGGATAAGTAGCATAAGTAGTATAAGCAGTACAGGTAGTATAAGCAGTACAGGTAGTATAATGGTAGGAGTAGGTAATCTGTACTACTGACGGCTTGTTTCAGCGGTGTTCAATAAAAGACCATATCTGACTATATGATATCATATCACACCAATACTGTCGAGAACTAGCGACTATTTTGCAATAATTGGTTTAAACTTCAAAATAGTTAAATTGGTCAATGTATAGTAGAATAGACTACAAAAGTATACTAGTAGTATACTAGTATAACAGTAGTGTAATATTAGTATAACAGTAGTGTAATATTAGTACAACAGTAGTGTAATATTAGTATAACAGTAGTGTAATATTAGTANAACAGTAGTGTAATATTAGTATAACAGTAGTGTAATATTAGTACAACAGTAGTGTAATATTAGTATAACAGTAGTGTAATATTAGTATAACAGTAGTGTAATATTAGTATAACAGTAGTGTAATATTAGTATAACAGTAGTATAACATTAGTGTAATATTAGTACAACAGTAGTGTAATATTAGTACAACAGTAGTGTAATATTAGTACAACAGTAGTATAATAGCAGTATAATAGGCTACATAAGAAGTGGACTCCAGTCATGCTAAACTCTAAACATGACATATAACCATTCCATCGCTTAATGTATTCATACTTACACCATACTTCAGCATATTTCATACAGCCATGCTATCTATACACTCATGAGCTACCGGTATCTTACACACAGTGTATGTATAGTATGTATAGTATGTAGTATGTATAGTATGTATAGTGTATAGTGTATAGTGTATAGTGTATAGTGTATAGTGTATAGTGTATAGTGTATAGTGTACAGGTGTTTTCTGGGAGAAATGCGATTTATTTGCAAAACAAAGACCCATGCACCCAGAGGAGCAACGGTTCCCGGCACGTGCCAGGGGTCTAGACGGTCCCTGGACAGCAGAAGTACGACTGACGGGGGCAGCAGCAGCAGCCACTGGCACCAGCCGGCGATTGAACGAGCCCAACCCTGGATTGAACCCCCCATTCGACAATACAATCATCGTAGCCAGGTCACTTTCGAATTTAGCAATAATTGGTAATGGGGTGGTAGTGGTAGTGCAACGCTTCAGATTTGCCATTTTTTGCCCTCGCTGTTCAATCCCCAAAAATTTTCATATAAATTCATCGGTTGATTCATTTTTCGTTGAAAAAGCTCAATTTACCAATTCAATTCCAATTCCAATTCCAAAATGTCTAAAGTTTATTTCGATGTCTCTGCCAATGGTTCTTCTTTAGGGAGAATCACTTTCCAATTATACAACGACGTTGTTCCAAAAACCTCTGAAAATTTCAGAGCCTTATGTACTGGTGAAAAAGGTTTTGGTTACGCTTCTTCCGCTTTCCACAGAGTTATTCCTCAATTCATGTTACAAGGTGGTGATTTCACCAGAGGTAACGGTACCGGTGGTAAATCCATCTACGGGGAAAAATTTGCTGATGAAAACTTTGCTAAAAAGCACACCAAACCAGGTTTATTATCCATGGCTAACGCTGGTCCAAATACCAACGGTTCTCAATTTTTCGTTACCACTGTTCCATGTCCATGGTTAGATGGTAAACACGTTGTCTTTGGTGAAGTCATTGACGGTTACGATGTTGTCAAGACCATTGAATCTTACGGTTCTTCTTCTGGTACCACCAAGGCTAGAATTACCATTGATGCCTCTGGTGAATTGTAAGTAATTTAAGTTACATCAAAAAAAAATAAAATAAGATAAAATATACATCATCAATTATGTAGAATTATTATACATCATCAATTATGTAGAATTATAATTTTGCATTCATTAACGCATCAATACCGCTCTTATTGACCCCACTAACCTCTTCTTTACCAAAATATTTAATGGTTTGGTCTTGTCCAACAATAAAAGCGTATCTGGCGGTTCTAACACCAAATCCTTTACTAGACAAATCTAAACTATTAGAGTATTTCCCACTGAATGATGCATTCCCGTCGCTGGCAAAGATAATCTTGGGATTTTCTTCACTTCCCCTAATCCCCAATTGTTTGAGTAACAATTTCCCCCAGGCATTAATAACAAATGGATCATTGGCACTGGCAATCACAACTGCTCCAATGTTCTGTTCCCTCTTCAATTGCTTCAATTGTTTCAATATCCCCGGAATATGGTCTTCAGTACAGGTTGGAGTAAATGCTCCTGGAACAAATACAAAAGCAGTATTGGTACCGGAGTGATCTTTAAATAACTTATCTAACTTCAAGGGTAATGGTTTAGCACAAGCCAACCCATCATCTTGGGCAAGCGTGGCAAATTCAATTGGGATATAGGAGAATTCAACTCCTTCTGGAAATTTGGTTCCTTCACTAAGACTCATGATACTGTCGTTGGTGAGTTGAAAAGTATGCCCGGGGGGTTCTACTCCCTTTATATACCTAGAGTTGCGCGCACGTGATGCCTGGTCGACCAGTAGCGTCAATTGACGTGATGTCAATTGAGTAATTGATTGATGTCAATTGAGTAATTGATTGATGTCAATTGAGTAATTGATTGATGTCAATTGAGTAATTGATTGATGTC